GTTTATTGTATTTCCAGGACGGGCCACAAAAGAGGGACCTGACTGTGGTTGTTGCAATGGTGGTTGAGGTGGTGATGGTGGTTAGGGACAGAATTGCGATCCGACGCAGTCGGAGAAGGGTAATTAAGTAAGGCACCGGCTCCATTCGTCGCCCCACGCGGGCACCCAGGAAAACCGTCAGGGGAACCATCAACGTCCTACATGGAATTCCTTTGGTATTTCTTCCCATGAGTATCTTGGATATGGCAAGAGGGTGAGACAGACCTTTCTTGCATAGGAACTGCATAGTGATAGCTCGTCTCCGACGAATATCTAGTTTCGGAAACCGACCACTTGACCAGGGTCAAAGAACAGCATCCTTACGCAATGTCGAATGATATACCAAATCATATAGATGCTTAACTGTGCTCTTGTCCAATTATTTCAAGGGGATGTGCGACACCTTCGCGCGTTGCCAATCATAAGCCCTCCCGACATACGAATGCCCTCCCCCAATGCCGCTTTTTTGACAGTAGCTTGAAGCCATGACCTCGGAAATGGCTGGACCAGAACTCTACATTTCTGCGGAACCCAAGCTGGTTCTCAAGGGTCTTCCAGCCAATACCTCGAAGTATAGAGCCAGAGGGACTCCATAGAGCGACTACGGGCAAATCGTTCCTGTTCGATATCCTAATATGCGAACATGGCCACTCCAAAAGCAGCCAGCACAGCTCGGACATCAACCCCGGACTTTACTGCTTAGGATGGACCATTTGAATGGTGTTCCTGTGACTCTATGCGACAGCCTGCTGTGTCCCTGTTCAAATGACAAAACGACGTGGTGAAACCCTTTCGATACATGATAACGATTTCGTCCTATGCACTCTCGAGTATTTGAGTACCTGGAAAGCCTCAACAAGATAGTTCATCCTAATGGGAATCCACTAATGACAAACCATACTCCGTAGTCTAAGATCATTTCTACTTCTATCTATTAAAGGCGAACACTCCGGGCTACTCCTGCATTGGATTTGCGGGGATATCCTCATAGTAGATTCGCATTCACTAATCCAAGAACAAGCCCCTCTTTCTACTAATTTACAATGTTCTGAATGGCATTGTCAGCGAGACATGAAAAACAGTAGAACCAGGTGACATCATAATTGTCTACTATACTCGGGTTTTTATGCAGATAAGCTTGTGCAAGATTACTAAACATGCACATACAGCGCGATTTCATCTGGGATCCACGAAATGTAAGTGTGCAATAAATCCAAGCAGAAACTAATCATTATCCTCTGTCAAAGAGGTTCACTTGTTGTATTTGGTGCTTGCATGTCCACCGCTCAAGTACGGAGCTAAGCCCGAAGTGGTCATACTGAGCAGTGCTTCCGCGCAACGCGGTCCACGCGCGCCGTTCATCGCCGGCTTCTGAGGAAAGTCTGCGCCTTCACCTTTAACCTTCATACAACCTACGTTTCTATCAATTTGCGCCCATTCATCGACAAGATGTCTGGTCAAGACGATTGTAATTCGCCATTCTCCAATTTCCCCGCTAGTCTTTGAATTACAGCCAAGCTAACTGGAATACCTCGACATAGGGTCCTGCGATGCGAATGACGCCGTGCACATCACCGTTGTGCAGCCCGGCCAGGAAAAACCCAAGACGCTGTCGGGCTTTCATCCGCAGTTTACCTATCCGATTTTTGGCGATGAGGAGCAGATTTTTGGTTACAAGGGCTTGATTATCCGGTTGCGCTTCACGGCTCACGATCTTCGCCCGCATGTCCACATATCTTACGATGAGAAGTTCAAGGCGGTTGAGGATGCAGAACCATTGAATCTTCTGGAGACCATCAAGCCTTGGATTCCAGAGGGTGGGTATACCATGTGGCTTTTCTGAATGATGTGAGCTAACTTGTCGATGTTCAGAGGCATTTATCAACCTCCCCGATTACGAGAAAGCAGTTCAGAATGATGAGAGTGCGAAGGATTTTGTACCTCCTGGAAAGCGCGTGCACAACTATGTCACTCGAGGAAGAACATATGAAATCTGGGCTGGGTCGCTCGCTGATCCCGAGGTGCGACGATTGTTGGATCGCGCGCAGGTCTTTGTGTCTTTGTTCATCGAAGCCGGTACGCCTCTAGACACGGAAGACCCAGAATGGTCTCTGGAAAGGTGGACGGTATACTTTGTGTATGTTGCTATTCCGAATTTGACTCGAGCAATAACTAATAGAATGCAGGTATGAGAAGGTGGCCCCTCCTACGCCAACTGCTTCGCAATACTCTATCGTTGGATATGCGACGACATACCGTTGGTGGCACTACAGGAGAGACCAGTCGCAAACTCCCGCCGTTAGCAACGAGCCCTACCCACCGAATGAAGTCAGGCCTGCAGAGCTGCCGTCCCGGCTGCGGATTGCTCAGTTCCTGATTCTCCCTTCTCATCAAGGCTCTGGCCATGGCACCCATCTGTACACTACTATCCATACCACTTGCTTCGATGATCCAACCATTGTCGAACTCACCGTCGAAGACCCCAACGAAGCTTTCGATGCTCTTCGCGATACAGCGGACTACCTCATCCTCCAACCTGAATTCACGAAGCACAAAGTGAACCTCAACTCCGACCCTTACGAAGCACACTCCAAAAAGCAACGGCCACGTCTTGTCCCTACTGCCGATCTTATCCCCGTCAAACTCCTCCACGATATCCGCATGTCCTACAAAATTGCCCCTACCCAGTTCGCTCACATCTTGGAAATGTTCCTCCTGAGCCGGATTCCTCTCAAGAACAGACAGACCGGCGGAGCCAACATGTCGCGATTGTTGATCAAAAAATACAAGACGGATGACCCTGACGAGCGTCGATACTACTGGTGGCGCCTGCTTCTCAAGCAGCGCCTGTACAAGCGTTCTCGTGATGTCCTGATGCAACTAGATCTGAGCGAACGCATCCAGAAACTTGAAGAGACTGTTACCAATGTCGAAGAGGGCTATGAGGTTCTGCTCAATGGATTCAAGGAGCGTGAAGACGCCCTGAAGGTTAGGGAAGAGGAAGCCGCGGAACTTTCTGAGGCAAAGTCTACTGCCATCCTGGATGAAGCCAACGAGAACCCCAGCGGCACCCTCGGCAGGGACCAGCGTATCAAGCGGAAATTCACCGTAGAGGATGATGAAGAGGAAGAAGGCAAGGAAGATGCTGCTAAGCGGCCTAAGGTGTAGGGTTGCGCTGTGGTGTTTGGTGTAATATTTCTTAATCAAGCGAGATCTGTGTAATTCACAATGAGTACGGAATGTGTTATTCGATTATCCAGTTGTAGATTGCTGGCCAATTCGTAGGACTTTGTGCTGGTAAAGACCGAATATGGTGGGCTACATTGGGCGATAAAGCCTATCTCGGGCCATTCCTTTTTCCGAATTTCTCCAGGCGAAAGTCACCGCGGAGCTGTCATCATCGCCATATCAGCGCTGCAAATCCAGACTTCCCAAGCTCATTTTATTTGCTCACCTCGAATTATCTTTGCGCGTGTCGAGGCGTCTATCTATATTCCTAGGCTTTCTATTGCGACCTCACCACAGTTTCACATTTCACAATGGTACGCGCTCAGCATCCCAACTCACTCTTTCAACCCACCGCTTCAAAGCACTAACATAGAATGCTGTACAGTTACCATTGGGCATCCTAACGGCCGCGCAAGGCCACCCGATGCTCGTCGAGCTCAAGAATGGCGAGACGCTGAACGGCCACCTCTCCAACTGCGATAACTGGATGAACCTGGTGCTGAAAGAGGTTGTGCAAACAAGTCCCGAGGGCGACCGCTTCTTCAAGTTACCAGAGGTCTACGTGAGGGGAAACAATGTACGTCTTTTGTCTTTTGTATTTGATGGCTACAGGCTGGATTTGCTATCTGACTGGCTAGCTGTTTGTTTGGCAACGAACCCCGCTAATTGTTCCACTCTATTTAGATCAAATACCTACGGATCCCCGAAGAAATCATCGACATCGTCAAGGAGCAGCAACACGCCCGCGACTCGGGTCGCGGCCGGGGTGGCTACAGAGGTGATGGACGAGACCGGGGTCGTGGAGGCCGTGGACGCGGTCGGGGCAGAGGGCGAGGTGGAAACTAAGGAGAGGAATGTTACCATATTTTCCTTCTTTTTTCCTTATGTTTTTTGCAGAAGAAATGGATATGAAAGATACCCCGGGGAGAGAAGGAGATGGTTGTGAATGAATTTTTTGCTAGGGAACGTCCGTCTGGTGGAATTGAAGTCGAGCATGGCCTTGGCGTATATGGCTCTGTATTATCTTAATGGGAATGTCTGTGGCATTGCATCTGACATGATTGGCAAATGATCTCTTGTTAGCCATTTGGTGCTTATCTTTGATGTGGTTGTATAATCACGTGATCGTAGATATTGATTGAACTTCCCCGGAAATTCCAAAATCAAGAGTGATCTCCCCAACAGCTCCTGATGCCGCAAAAGAAGCTCATACTTGATGGGCTTTGGTATTGCCTCTGTCCATCATTCAACGCGGCTTTGCGACGTCCTGGAGTTTCATTTATCAAGGGAAAGCGAGATCTACAAAGTGGCAGACTGCCCACTCGGACCCCTCTACCGCGAAGATGTTATAGCAGCAGCAAACCCACCGATGCTGAGAATGGGTATACTGGCACAGAAACAGCACCGTATAATACTTCAACTATTGAATCTTCAACTGAGCAACGAAATTCCTATAACAAGCAGTGCGCACCATCGAAGACCGGAACACACCTAGACCACTTCATCGGGATACCAGAAAACCTCGCGGGGCAATCCACGGCGAATCTCGAGTCGAAGCTGAAGGAATTATCGCCTCGCGGGCCCAGAATTCATAGCACGATGCAGATATTACATACGTTGGTGAGGATGCGCCATGTTCGGCCCGGGGTGCGCCATTATCGAGCGTTGATTCTGGCGAACGTAGACCCGGAGCGCGGGTCGCCGGATGCACTGCGTGGATTACTTAAGGAGATGGAGAAGAATGGTATTCCGGCGGATTCGGGGACGCTGCACGCTGCGCTGCAGGTATGAAATTCTTTTGTTTGGAGAACATTCTACGAGTCCAGGCGTTGTTGACACTGGGCTAGGTACTTGCGGTGCACCCCGATTACCTCCTTCGCCAGGAGATCCTGCGGACGTTGCGCGATAGATGGCTTCCATTGAGTCCCACTGGATGGCATTGGGTTGTGGCTGGTCTTCTACGGGAGAACCAGTTCGAGTTGGCGCTGGACCATATTGCGCATATGGAAAGGAAGGATATTGTGGTTCAGGATTGGCTACATGGCTTGCTCATCTATAACCTCTGCGAATTCGAAGAGTTTGATGAGGTAGCTCGATTGATGCAGTCTCGAGTTAACCAGGGCCATGATATGTCATTGGAACTGTGGCGGTATGTGCTGGACGTCGCGAGTACGGCGCAGCATGAGGAGGCTACTCGCCTCGTCTGGGCCCAGATGGTGCAGTTGGGATACCTTCAACCGTCTCGTGAGATCTGCACCAAGGTCCTGACTATGGCATCTCGTGTAGGAGACGCCGACTTGGCAGCGTCAGTGGTTGGGTTTCTGGCAGAAACTGGGGTCAAGCTTGAGCAGAAGGACTACGAGAATCTGGTGGAGACTCATACCACGGCTGGTAGTCTGATGTCAGCATTTGAAGTCATGTGCTCGATGCGCAAGGCTGGCATGATCCTGGCAGAGAACACCATGCGATCTGTCCGTACGTATGTGATCCAGACGAAGATTCGCCCGCGCGACGCATGGGCAATGCTCAAACGGCTGAAAGCATCGAAGCATGATATTCCACCCGAGTGCGCCCGGGTTGTCATGGAGCTGTGTGAGCATGAAGCACAGGACGACCCATTTGCCGTGGATGAAGGGGTAGAATTGTACAAAGATCTGTACACATTATGCCCTGGAGGAGCGGATGTTGCCATCTACAACACACTAGTCAGCATGTGCCGCCACGCACAGAACCGCGAGGCAGCCATGTTCGTTGTGAAGGAAATGGCCTCGCTCGGAGTGGTCCCCAACGCTAGGACCTTTGAAAGCCTCATCCTTATGTGTCTCGACGCAGGCAACTATGAATCCGCCTATCTCTACTTCCAAGACATGCTCGAGCGCGGCTTCATACCGGGCGAAGGAGCAAAGACTGAAATCCGCGACCAGTGTACCGGGGCAAGCGACAAATTCGCTGTCCAGTTGAAGTACCATCCGAACGTCCGTGGAGATCTGGTCCGCACCAAAGAACCGGGGGATACATTGGTGCCGAAAGATCGGATCAAGAAATCATCATCGCCTCCTGCGTGGTATGTCCAGGCTCCCAAGGAGAGCTGGATTATTCCAAACTTGTCAAAAGACGAGCGCCGGGCTGTCACTAAGGCGCGGAGAAAGGCAAAGAGGCGACGGATGGCGATTGCTCGGGGGAAAGCAGAGGAGGGATGGATGGACCATGAGGCCGGGGGATTGGAGCCAGAGGTCAAGGTTTGATGTATTGTATTCTATACATGAGTGTAACTGTACGATACCGCCTAAGACACATCCATACTATTGTCTAGACTATTCCGTACTCTGCACATGTCTCTGAATCTCCAACGGAACGCGCCCGACCCGGAGCTAAGTATAGCCAGACCAGTCGGGAACCCGAGCTTGTTGCATAATTCTCCGGTGGATCCGGTTCGACCAGACCATACTGTACTGACTCTGACTCTCCGACTCGCAAGTGATCCATCCATTTACCTACACTTGTGCCTGGTGCCTGTCTCACCTGTCGGTTTGCAAGTCAATGCTGAAACAACATGTTTTTCAACCCTCCGGCGTAGTATACGGCGCCGAGTCGGAGGATCTCAGGAACGAGACGTGCAAAACAGTTGACTCGCCGCGATCTCAGGGTCGAAACATGCATGACCGGAGTTTACCATTTTTGGGCTATTTTTTGGCATGTTTGAAGTTGATTAATATGATGCAGGATTCCTTGGCTTCAGGACGGAGTGTTCCGTAGGTAAACAGGTTTGTACTTGTGCTTTGGACGGGGTCGGTGTGCATACTCTCGGGGTATTTTGTAGACATCGCTGCATTGACAGTGCCAACTCGGAGAATTTCATTGCTTGCCATAACGGCATCAACTGCACATTCTTCGGCCAAAAGCAATCGTCTACTTCGTACTTGTGCAGAGCTAGAATTTGGTTCTGACGAAACTGACTTCATCGCTATAAATAACCGAAATTAGGATCATCAACGGAGTTTGGGGGAAGAACAGACGATTCCGGGGGATGTTTGAGCTCAAAACTGAGTATGGACAGTGAGCGATATTCAGATCAAAGCATAGCCTAGTCTAGTATCAATAGCAGAACACAGACCAGAGCACACCATAATATAGCACAGTAAAAGATAACCAAGGAATAAAATGATCATCGATTGTCCCGAAAGAGTAAATTCAGGAGAGCGGATTTCTTGGCGGGTTCCTTATAAGGCTTCTTTTTCTCTTCTCCCATTCTCCATCTTTCATTCAAACTATCCTTCTCATTTCTAATATCTAATTCTGTATAAAGTTGTGCATCTGTACATATACAAACTCTATCAAAATGCAGCTCACCACCATCCTCACCACCGCCCTCCTCTCCTCCGTCTCCCTGGCCGGCACCTTCAAAACCCTCTCCAAGAGCAAGCCCAGCCCAGCCCTGACCTGGAACGTCACCAACTTCAACACCAGCTGCACCTCGGGCGACTGCACCTACAACTTCCACATCGCCGGCCAGGGCACCCCCAACACCCCCGGCTTCAACACCACCTGCACCGGCGCCACGGGCAAGGAGGACTACCAGCCCTGTGGCAACGAGCAGATCTCGGCCATTGTTGACCCTGCCAAGTCGTCGTCGCGTTGGAACGTCGAGGTCCAGCACACTTGGGTCAAGGGCGAGGCGCAGTTTTGGGCTGTCGGGAGTTCCAATGCTACTGCTCCGGCGAAGCGGTTCAACATTACTGTTGATGAGCAGTATGGTGTTGCCTAAATGGGAATCTTGAATGCGTCTTTGTACAGTTTATGGTCCGGATGTTCTTTGGATGAATTGGGTTGGACTTACTTAATGTCTGGATTTATGCCTGTGGTTATTTTCATGTCTCTCATTATGTCTCTGGATGATACTTTGAATATTCAAACTAAATGCTGGCGGTGACATCATCCCGCCAACACCTCCATTTCTCCATCTTCAGCTGGATATCTTTTGCCATCCGTGGCTGTGATCCTATACCTACAACTAGTAATTAAATACTAGCACAACCCCTTTCTATAAGTAATCTCAATCTATTGAAATGGTATGTGCGCCGTCGTCCCCTCCCACTCCCGTGCCCTGCAGCTGCAACAAAACACCGAATTGGACTCACGCAAACTTGCAGGTTCTGTGCAACTCCATTCCTCGATCTTAATAGGAGCTTTTCAAGTATTAGGGCTCTGCAGCATGGTACGTCAGAATCCGCATTTTCCCCCCATTCTTGCCCCTGTTTCGCCGAGACTGACCTGTTGCTTGGCGGGTTTAGGCGTCGATCCTGCGACAAATCGTGGCCGGCCCGCGATTGCAACATCCCGAGACCGGGTTGGATCTTTGCTATGTTACGGATGATAGTGCGTTATTCTAATCTGAGGTTGCCGAGTGGAAATACCTACTAACACTGCTAACTGCAGTCATCGCAACATCGGGCCCCTCCCTGAATTTCCCCAAGCGAGCGTACCGCACCCCCCTCGACGCCTTGGTTCATTTCCTCGACTCGAAGCATGGCCCCGAGTGGTGTATATGGGAGTTTCGCGCGGAGGGCACTGGATACCCTGACTCGGAGGTGTATGGACGAATCCACCATTTCCCCTGGCCGGACCACCATCCCCCGCCGTTCGCGCTTATCCCCGCCATGATGGCCAGTATGCGGAACTGGGTGCAGAGGCTGGATGATAACGATTCGAAAGATTCAGACGAGGGTGGGAAACCGTCGGATAAAGGGAAGCGGGTGGCTGTTGTGCATTGTAAGGCTGGTAAAGGTCGCAGCGGGACAGTCGCGTGCAGTTATTTGATCAGTGAGCAGGGGTGGAAACTTGAGGATGCACTTCAGCGGTTTACAGAACGTCGCATGCGGAACGGGTTTGGGGCTGGGGTTAGTATTCCCAGTCAGCTGCGATGGGTGGGATATGTGGATCGGTGGGCGAAGTCGATGAATAAGAAGTATGTTGAGCGGCCGGTGGAGATTCTCGAGATACACGTCTGGGGATTGAGAGATGGGGTCAAGGTCGCGATTGAGGGTTTTGTCGAAGAGGGGAAGCAGATCAAGTGCTACCACCTGTTTCATCGCAGTGAGAAGACGGTTGTCGACGATGGTAAGACGCTGTACGGTGGGAAGGATGGAGAGAATGACAATAAGAACGACTCCCAAGAACCTCTGTCGGCCGTGTCAGGCACGTCTTCGAAGTCTTTGTTTGCGCCCTCTACGGAGTCTACCGTCACCAGTCAATCCGGCAATTCGACGCCTACCAAGCGCATCAATGCCATCCTCCTCCGCCCCAGCAAACCCGTCATCCTCCCAAGCTCCGACGTGAACATTGATTTCGAACGACGCAGCAAAGCCGCCTACACCGGCTGGGCGATGGTCACATCCATCGCTCACATCTGGTTCAACGCCTACTTCGAAGGCGGCGACCAACACGCCTCGAATGTCTTCGAGGCCGACTGGGAGGCCCTAGACGGCATCAAGGGCACAACGAAGAAGGGCGTGAGAGCCCTCGACCGCTTGAAGGTAGTCTGGCGCTACCCACCTCCGTCTGAACTGGGCCTCCAAAAAGATCAAAAGGGAACCGACGTCATCGCCCCAGTGACAGCAGGCCAAACAGTCACCGAGCCCAAACCCGGCGAACCAATCCCTGAGGCCGAGCCAGCGGACTGGCGCGGCCAACATCGCGATCCCAGCGGCGGGCCACTCCGCGAACAGGATCACGAACAGGATCTGAATAAAGAAAACCTCATCCCGCGCGAGCGCATCGCAGAAGCAACAGATCCCCAACACGAGCCAGCTTCCAAGGGCCTAACCATCCAAACAGAGCACCCATTCATCACTGGTGCTAGCACCACTGCTGCATCAGCTGCGTCGGCCACATTACACTCCTTCCATGGTCTGGAGAAGGAACTAGGATTGAGAAAGCAGACCGATGAGAGTCATGATGTGAGTCTGGCGAATAGCGACGATGAGCTTGGCCAGGGGAAGACGAGGAATCATAAGGCGCATGTTAGCGCTGCGCCTGGTGCTGCGCCGGGTGTTTCGGTGGAGGATAGTCTTAATGTTAATAAGGATACGGAAAGTGTACAGGCGCATTCTGGGAATAAGGCGGATAAGGAATAGATACTTACTGGTTTTGGATAATGTAATATAGCTATCACTATACCAGCTGCACAGGGTGATTTGGAGTAAAGTAATATATATGGATTACAATACAACCTAATGATATCATGGTAACATCCGTTGTGAGATGTACGGAAGTGAATTCTAGCCAGTCAGCTACAACTTATCAATAGGAACTGTCAAGAGTGAATTGCCCTAAAGCTACTTACACTGGAGCCAGGGTTTCCTCCTCCTCTTTTCTCTCTAGCACTCTATATCTCACCCGATCCTATTCTCAATTTCTCCCCTCTGTTAGACATTCCATAGCATCGATATAGCATGCATCATGACTTAACAGGCTCAGTCCCTATAACCATTACCATACCTACCAGGCACTCAATTCATGAGACCAAGGACCTCGCCTACCACCATGCGTGGCCCTGGATTTGGAAGCAATTTTATCGAGGACACAGAACACTAGGCGGAGGATCGAATCGTGAGCAAGCTCACAGCAATGAAAGTTAAGACTAGCCTTAGAACCATGTCCATTGCAATGCATGGTAGGGTCTCGAAATGAAGGAGTGAGATTATTGCCTTCCCCCTCTCTCCTCCTGTTTATTTGTTCCATGACTTTGACTGATGGGGTTTCATAGTGTGAAGAACACTTGGAACACATAATGCGGTTCTCGACAACATTGTCCAACGGGCAAAACCTCACCATAAAGACAAACAGGAGATTGCTGAACGACGCAAGAGACTTTTCCTTCCTGAATGAAACTCTGGAAACCCGGCACCGACAGTTCTAGGGCTATATGGAAAACAAGAGCAGGGCCTGTCAGGACATACCCGAGAAACCTTGCCGACGACAAACATGTCACGAAAGGGATCTGGGTCTTCCGTGGAGTTCGAGGTTCTCGCCAGAATGATAGAGCGATAATAAAGACGGCCTTTGGTATAAGGTTGCCGGCCATAGGATCGGGCCATCATCTAGTCATGCAATACTCTTACGACACGCATGCGCCGCTAGAACAGGCAAGAATGCCCTGTTAAAGGGGGTACAGGTGGTTTTTTAGAACCTTTATCCTACCCTGTTCCTACTCCATCGCTACCAATCACCATTCATTGGAGCAAATCGACATAGACGCCCTATGATACCATAAAAGCACTGGGCTGAAAATGGTGAATGCTAGACGAGTGCCTACGTGACGAATACTGTTGGTTCGAAAACCGCAACAGCATGCGAGGAGAGACATCACGCATGCCCGGTGTCGATCAAGCCAGTGAGTCAGATGCATCTCCAGGAAGCGAAAAGTATCATATCAACACCAGAATGCTATCAATGCCAGGACCGGCCTTCACTTGTCCCATCTGCAAGAAGACAAACCTACCAACCAATATTCTTCCATGCTGCCGGGTTGTTTGCATCGCATACACTTTGGTAAGCCGCAATAGCGTCGATATGATAAATGGTAGCCAAAGCACCTTGATCTGATGGGCTATATCAGGCCTTGACATTTTATTTGTCGAATCGGGCGATATTTTGTCTAGGCATTATGGTGGCGGGATCCATATCTTCTAAGCGAAGACTGTTGTTACATGCCCAAGGACAGAGACTAGCCACGCAAGACACTCCCCAGATGCACTTGTGAGATAAGTCCAGACTGATCGCTTCTGGAATGGCCTCACCTCAACAAGCCAGCAAGGCATTTTGCGCCACCAAGCAGCCGACACTATAGTCAACAACCAGATTTTTGGTGTTGTATCTCTCTTACGCTATAGCAATATAAGCGTCTAACTAGATCCAGACGTCATGTGTGTTTGTTCTCGAGCAATTAAGATGAACCATTAATGCGAGAGCGCATCAGCGCAATCCTTCACCCAACTTTAAACTGAATGCTAACAAGGTCAGTTGGCAGGCAGAGTCCAGGTTCGAAGCGAGGCAACTGCCGAGTGCCGAAAAGGCGAGCAATGAACCTATACTTAGCAAGCCTGAACGTGGCAAAGACCATCACAACAATGGAAAACATATATCGCCCCTTATGCAAGGCAAGCAATGAGGAAGCCACACTAGCCTGCTCACACGAGCGGTACCAGATCTAATCTGAGCCCGAAGTTTAAATGCTGAAGACAACAGCATCACGGAGCCATTAATGGCTGCAATTTCAGCCGATTATTATTTCGCCTAGCCCTATTTGTGGTGTTTATCGCTTGTGCAACCTTCAACTTGAAGATTACACTTCATCCTACTCGTCAATGAAGAACAATGTGCCAAATTTTGTATGCATCGTTTGAGGGTGCTCAACGTTATCGAGAGCTGAGGAAGAACACATCAAAATCCAGCGTTCATTCATTCCCCGCCAATGCAGGCAATGTGACAGCCCAACAGTCTACTACGCCAACAAGGATCTGCTCCGGCTCCGAGTTGCAATCCACCGCGACATGCCGACCCCAATGCTATGCCTCGTAAAGGATGGCAAATGCTCTCGCGTTTCGGTCCACAATGATACAGACTATACCATTGTCTAGAGAATATGAACAGGCCAGTAGATAAGCAGAAGGAAAATGGAGGAAAAGGTTTAGATTGCTTTCAGCAAGCGTTTGGTCGCCTTTTGGCCGCAGTAAAGATGGGGATTCAGGGAGTTAATCGAATTGACGCTTCGGACACTTGTTTTCAAATACGCCCTTGAAAGATTTTAATACTTTAACATACCATAGAATAAACCATTGAACATTTGAGTAGAAATAGTGTACATTCGAATTATGACTGGTATCCTAACCCAACGCCATCATTGCAACATCTTCAAGATGATATATATAAAAACCATAACATGGCCATCGTAGCCCATACTTATACGCATATATGCATAGCAACCCATTAACAAATTTTAAAACGAAAGCACCAAAAGGATCGGAGAATCTACTCCTTAATTTCAGTCGGCTCAGCCTCCTCCCGCTGCTCCTCACCCCTCTTATCATTCTCATCGCCATGAGGGTGCATATCATGCACAATGCCCTCCGGGGGCACCCAGGAAGAGCTCTTCCAGGGCTTGACGTGCAGTACGTACATGGTGTCGACTTCCTCGAGGGTGCGGCCTTGGGTCTCGTTGACGAAGAAGTACACGACGAAGATGCCGACGAAGCAGCAGCCGGCGAAGACGTAGCCGTAGGCGTAGTCGATGGCACCGGAGATGAAGGGCGTGAAGAAAGAGATGAGGAAGTTCCAGGTCCAGTTGGAGGCGGTTGCAATTCCGATGCAGACGGCGCGGTAGCGGGCTGGGTAGAGCTCACCGCAGATAGCCCACACAATGGGACCCCATGTGGTGGCATATCCTGAAAAATTATGAGTTAGTTGGGAACTAATTGTGGTTTGTGGTGGGCGGATGGACAAGGTGTCAAAAAGGGGCGGGAAGGGGGAGAAAACATACCGACAATGAAAAGACAGGTAAAGGCAATCATAACATTACCAGCCGAGTCGCTAACACCAAGTTGGTAGTGACCAACCGAAGCCCAGATCATGAAACAGACAAACATCCAAGCACCACCGAGGATGAGCGACTTGCGACGACCCATGTGCTCAACAATGTACAGGCCAGGGAAGGTCATACCAAAGTTGACAGCACCAAGAATAATCTGGGTGATGTAGCTGTCCAGACCGATGGTTCCGAAGATACTGTTACCGAAGTAGAAGATGAAGTTGGCACCGGTCATCTGCTGCAGCGACTGAAGCACGATACCAAGGATGGTACGGTGCAACATGCGAGGACCAGTGAAGATCTCGTGCCATGGGGCCTTGCCGGCTCTCTGCTCCTCGTCGAACTTATCCTTCATGTCTTGCATCTCCTGGGCGATGCAGCGGTGGTTCGAGGGGACACCGTACAGCTTGCACATGACCCGGCGGGCTTCCTCGAAGCGGCCGCGGCCGTAGGCGAAACGAGGCGACTCGGGCAGGAACAGGGTGCCAATACCCAGGATGAGAGGCCAGGCAAAGCCAACACCCATGGTGATACGCCACGAAGCAGTCGAGGCGATGTTGTGGGTGCCGTAGTTGACAATGTAGGAGATGAAGATACCGAAGGCGACGAACAGCTGGAAGGCACTGACCATGGCACCACGGACCTGACGGGGTGCAGACTCGGACTGATACATGGGGACGATGGACGAGAGAGCACCGACACCCAGACCGGCGACGAGACGGCCCACGGCGATCTGGTACCACTTGGTGTCTGTGGCGATTTGAACGATGATGCCGACCATGTGGACGACGGCCCAGAACGAGATGGAGTATTTACGGCCGATACGGTCTGCGATGGGGGCGGCGACTAGAGCTCCAACCATGGTACCAATGGAGAGCTTCATACGTTAGTATAACTCTTCTCAACCCTTCTTGGTAAGTACATACCAGACCAACAATCAAACCATTCCGGACGTTACTGAAACCGATCTCCCCGTTGCCCATGTCCTCACCGAACCGTTGCTTGAAGTCGTTCATAGTAGTGAAACCGGAGATTTGACCTATCCTGCCAGTTAATAACAAGCCATGAAGGCCTGGCCGGAAGGTAGGGCTTACCAGTCGAGTAACCGAAGATGAAACCACCCATGGACACACAGATACCCAGCATGAAGGACCGCCATGTCAGATACTTGACAGGGCTGTCGTCGATGATGCCAGTATCCTTCTCGGCATTCGAGTCTGACCGAGCTGGGGTGGAGGACTGGGAGTTGTCCTGAGCCGAGGGCTGCAGCTTGGATAGGAACTTGGGAACACCCATTGTGTCTATCTACCCCAGAGTATAAGAAGAGACAAACAAACAAAAGGAAGAAGAGAGGGATAGGGAAGGGAAGAGAAAAAGTCAAAGGAAGGGAGGAACCCGGGGCGTTCTTATATTGCCCGGCAATCCAAACAACCTCATCTCCCTCCCCGTCAACAACTGGGACCTGCCAAGGGAACTACAAAACGGGAAAATTAGAAGGGTAAAAAAAAAAAAAGAAAAAGGAAATTGTGGATATCGGGGTCTCTCCGGGGGAGATGCCGTGGTCACTGGTCACAGAAAAGACGCACGGGGAAAAAGAGGGAGGGAACCATCTGGCACCGGCTGGAGACGTTTCCTACCTCATGCAAGGCGCTGAGGCTTGACTCGGGAAGCCGTCATTGGCCCGAAGCGAGAGAAAGACAGAAATGGATACCCGAGTCGGTAGTCTAGTCGGGGACAATGTCGGATTGGCTTCATTTCCGCCGTGTGGAGAAACGAGCGGAGGGTGAAATGTGGGCAAGTGGTGGGAGAACTCGGGGAAAAACCACACGAATGGTGGAGAGAGCCGTGGAGAACCGGAGATGCGTTATGACTACATATCTTTGCCCTCGTTATTACGCTTCGGGCATGAATATGAGATGTTTTATGTTTACTGTACCGACCGGCATGCCGTACGGATATACGGATCATGCCGGCTCGCTTTCTTCTGCTTCAGTTGAATCTCTTCATGACTTCGACACATTGTCCATGCCGTACGTACATAATCTGGAGTAGTGACAGCTACGGAGTATTCGAATAGTCGCGTGACTGCACGCTCCACATCCAATATCGTTCCCTGCCTGCTGACGTTGTTTCTCCCATGGCACCGGCATTCTAGAAGCTTACGGTTTTGGCTTGGGCCCTCCGTATTTACGAGTAAACAAACATTACCCTAGCCAAAGTCTCAATACAGCCAGACATTGCAAGGGGTATCCGAAACACCGGAATGCAAGCCCATGTAGAACAAGCATGAACAATGGATTCTGATTCGTATTCCCTGTGTAGGTAGAGTACCGGTATGAGAGAAAAAGAAGCAGACGCCCCACTGATCCCCTTTCCGCATTCTTACGAAATCGTCACCAATCGCTTACTGGGTGAAGAATCCGTGCCGAGACTTGCTTTCATTCCGCCGGCCGTATGGGTACTAACACCGCACATATATGGTCGGGATCCGACCGGTGCCGGTTTTTTAGCTTATTGAATTAGTTGATCCGTTTCTCGGCATTGCCGAGCATTGTCTGTCGAGCCTATGCACTCTGTGCTGCCCGGATGGCATGAAGAAGGCCGGAAAAGAGGCGAAAAGAGGCAAAAAGAACACCGGTAAACTGAGAGACGAGGAATGTCTTTTATATCTACACACGCTGAAGTTATCAGAAAAGCACGACATCCCTGATAACGGACGAGAGTGCCCCTGGGAGGACTGGTCGGAATCGGGGGCCACTCGGAATCGGGAGGCCGTCGGTGTGCCGAGTTGGTTAAACTCTGCCGTTTGTGCTCACCGGTGCCGATCATGCCGTTTCTATCTACTTTCCAGGTATCGGAATGTTTGCACTCCTGTCTGTCTGTACATTGAGCGTACCTGTGCTTACTTGCACAGTATCGAACACCTACTTGTGTGTCCTGCGTCTGCACAGAAGCCATATCTATGAATACACTCAGAGCAACAGAGTGCACGACAAGCTTTGCTAAACCGCAAATTCGAACCTTGCAAAATCTTCACCCAGCCGATCATTCGGAACTAGTCCGGTATGGTGTGACTTTTCCTCGTCAAGACTGTTCTTGTCGGGTTTAGTGCCGTCGGTTTCGGATTGCGGTGAAAATTTGCATCGGATCGGGATGCCGTTTTTATTTTGTATCAGGCTAGTCTGGTTTAGTCGGTCCGGTTAGCCCTTGTGGTGTTGTGTCCGTGTCCGGGATTTGTATTCTTAGGATTTTGCTCTGTTAGGAGTACTCTGTACTCTTGCTTGATATGTACAGAACATGGCATGGAGGAGAGGATAGTAGAACAGAAAAATTGTACAGTCTAGAGTCAAGAAAAAAAAATCCGTAGAGAAAACCGTGACTCATTTACTTACTCGCCCAGAGTTTGCTTACTTGTACTATACACATGCACTCAAACACTGATAAGCACCATCCAAACACTAACATCACTGACTAACCCAATTCCCCCGAAGTCCTGTCATAACTTCGGAGAAAGAACGGAACACGGAGAATTGTACTGGTGTTCCTCCACACTGCTGTGTTCACGCTACTGCAACCCTACTCATGGAGTAGTAGCCAACCCCATGGCTACATCATCGAGCAGGAATCGTGCATCTGGAGTATATTCTGGAGTAGATGGAGAGTCGGTTCGGTACACTCCGCACCGCTCCATGAGACTCCATATGGAGTTCTCGGTATGGAGTGCAGGATGGAGTTGAGTGCTTGTTTGCTGGGTTCCTACGTCATGCGTTTGGTGTATTGATATATCGGGCCATGTGTTGTCGGGTGTGCGATTTTAGAAATGATATACGATGCTGCGTTAAGTCTGGTTTTATCCCTCATATAGAGACTTGTATTCGGATAGCATCACTCCTCGACATCATGTCCGGTACGGCATGTCTGCTGGTCCACACATGTGTTTTTCACGCCGTCTTACGGGATGGTGCCATCCGCCAAACCCATTTCCGCATGTGGCTTCCTCGATGCATTTCATTCGTGCTCTTAGTTGCAGTCTTACAAGAGACTGCTTCAACCATTCATGTAGCATGTTCGGACTGCTAAAGACCGGCGCATAGCCCGTTCAACTGAGATATTGCCTTCCCTGGTTGCCATATGCCATATCAATGCTGCATGTAGGATAAAGCGTCAGCAGACACAACAAACCCCAACCACGTCCCACGCTTCAGGTCGTCTCCTTTATCATAGTCGCAAGCACAAGCTCTTGGTCGCTTACTGCTTCGAAGCAAGCTCGGTAGGTCTGCTTTGAAACTGCGAGACTGGGCCGTCAACATGGCAGGGGAAGCGCACGAGTGTTGCCGGTTCGATGACTTACCAGGTCGCTGTCTGCTTTCGTGTTAGCATATAAAACATGGAGCCGATTGAAAGGCTCTTTGCCTGCATGGTACAGTCGGTTTAATCGCAAACCAAGCACCGAAATTTCGAGCTTGCTGGTAGGACACGGGGTTTGCTCCTTTCCCTTCGTGCCTATTCCACATCGCCCACCTTATTGTGCTCTCGTCTCATTTCTAGTCGACATGATTGTCGAGAAAGGTTTCTGTTCGAGCCCGTTGGTCCTTTGTTGCTCCCATCGATCTGTGAGCTGCAGAAAGTAACTTCTAGTAGAAGAAATAGATTTTCTTTGTCCATTCCGATGACGGCTAGTTATCGTATAATTCAATTTGACCAGTCCTGTATAACTTCTGGCCTGGTTCAATTAATGCAAGCGGAGCTGGAATATATACTTACAGACGACCAACCCACCACTTGACAATTATATCAACGGACAACAACACAAGCAACAACAATATCGTTCCAAAGACTTGCTGGCACGCAGTGCATCCTTTTCAATGCGTCAGATTGTCAATTAACATTGGGATCGCGTATGACCGCTTTTTTTTTTTTTTTTTTTTTTTTTTTTCAGTATGCTATTCCACCGAGAACTTCCACCTGAATCTCTGTTGGATAAGACGGAAAGAAGCACTGTGTATCGTAGAATGCTTTGTAAACGTGTTGAGAATGTTGTAAAGGTGACGATTTAGTTCTTATGATGTTCTTATGGTAGAGACAAGGCCTCATAACCTCTCATGGATGAAACAGCACCGGATGGGTGGACTCCCATGAGGGATGAGAGATTTTCTTACTACAGCAGTGTATTCACTCTAGCTATGTGGCAGACACAGAACCACTCCAATGACTTATGGTTGGTATTCACTTAGTGTGATGTCCTTGGCTCTATATAAATATACCGGTCTTGATTATTGGGTGGAGGGTTTACCATGATCTCATGGTCAATCACTGCCATGGATCCATCACTTGCCATTATAGTGGTTGAATTGTTGCTTCATCAAACGTTGGCATTTCGTTGAAGATAAATCGCACATTAGCTAGAATACATTCAACAATCCTAACTCATCAATCGGTTATTGCTGTCATCCCCACTCATATTGTACTAGTACCACATGGCACCTGCATCTGTTCACACCTAAGTAGCCTTCTTCCCCTTCTCGCGCTCCGCCTTGCGCAACGCCCGTGTCCGAATCGACTCATGCATGCCCTTATTCTGCCCAAGCACAGTCTTATTCATAACGCCAGCAACACAGGTCAAAAACCACGCCATCAACCCATGACTCCAGTACGGCGACGAGCTATACGCATATCCCGGCGACCCACCATTCCGTCCAATCTTACCCAGAACAGACTTGACAAATGCGCGGGGGTCCGGAATCGTAGCACTGGTCTTGCGTACCTTCGACATGGCCGATGTGATCAGATACGCCTGCACGAGTTCGACTGTGATACCGTGCTGTTCGAGCTCTGCGCCCAGGGCCGTCGACCACTGCTGCAGGAAGGCCTTGCTGCCGGAGTACGTGGCCAGGAGCGGGGTGGGGAGGAGACCGCCGAAGGAGCCCATGGTCAGGACCAAGCCGCGCTTGCGCTGGGCCATTCCCGGGACGACGAGTTGCGTGGTGCGCAGGGTACCCGTGCAGTTGATGGTGATGATGTCGTTCATTTCATCCTCGGGGGTCAGGGCGAAGGGGACGGGGATGCTGTGGGACTTTCCAACGTTGTTGACCAGGACTGCAACGTCGAGTTCATCGATGGCCGCCTTGAGGTTCTCGTAGTCGGCGTCGTTGTTCTGGGCATAGTCCATCGACACGCTCTTGGTTTGCACGGAGGGGTTCTTGGCTTTAATTTCATCTTCCAGGGTGGCTAGTTTCGAGGCGGTGCGGGAGACGAGGAGGATATTGAAGCCGGAGCGGGCGAGTTGTAGGGCGAATTCTTTTCCTAGGCCATCGGATGCTCCGGTGATCACGGCCCAGCTGCCTTGGGGACCGAACGAGCGGAGCTGCAGTCGAGTTAACCATCAGTTACAATGCCTTTTGAAATTCCAATTGATGGTGAATAACATACCGGCTTTCCAGGAAGCACAAAAAGACTCAGAATAACGCGAATAAATGTCAACGCCTTCCAGACAATGTAGAAAGCACCGGTAGACAGCAGCCCAAACGCAGCCACAGCCTGTGGGCCAGGGGCCACACTGAACTGCCAGTTGGACAGACAGTCCGAGTATTTTGACAGGAACTCCATTGTCTATTTGTAAACAATTGAGAAAAGACGTTCGATAGACAGAGTGGTGTGTCGTGGCAGAAAAGTTGAGCCGACGCCAAAATGTTGGGGGATTGGCGCACGTGCCATGTCACCTCGGCTTACGGGGAGCTCGTCCTCAAGGTGCTGCACTAACCATACTGTGTTCTCAGGGTACTCTGTACTTATTCAAGTGAACAATTCAACCAACATGGCCGAATTACTTTCTTATCTCCCCCCCTTTGAGGGCCTCCTACCCAAGTGGCTGTTCCTCGTACGCAACCACCGCACCGAAGATAGAAAAACACCTCACGACTAACGAAACCAGGTCTCCGTAATCTCAACCGCAAACAGCCTCCAAGCCTACCGTTCCCCCTCCTACGCCGCGCAGCTTTACAATGCCAAAACCCCCTCCGGCCAATCCCACACCAACGCTCTCGCCTCCCGCACCTTCGGCACCTGGACCTTCCTCTCCTCGATTGTCCGCGGATACGCGGCGTATAACATTACGACACCGGTAGCTTACGATTTGGCGGCGTGGAGCTTTGGAATAGCGCTGATGCATTTTGTGGGAGAGTGGTTGGGGTTTGGCAGTGCGGAGCTTAGGGGGAGGTTTGTTGCGCCGTTGATTGTGGCCAGTTCGAGCTTGGTGTGGATGTTGACGCAAAGGGAGGGATATCTTGCTGCTTGATTTGAGAACCAGGCGGTGGTAATACGAGGATGAATATCCATTGATTATGTCTATATCTGAACTCAACCGTCCAGCTTCCTCCTGTACAGCTCTCCTCCGCAATTCCGTAACCTGGCAGCGGCTTGCTCGGGAGTAATGTCCCGTTGCGGCTCGCCCATCATTTCATACCTGCACAGTCAGCATCGTCCAAGATTCCAGTAAAGGGGCTCGAGAAGACTTACCCAACCAAGAACTTCCGCACAGTAGCACTCCGCAGCAGTGGTGGATAAAAGTGCAAATGCAAATACGACGCCTCAACCTCCTCTTCCGTACCATCAAGCGGCGCCTGATGGATACCCATACTGTACGGGAAACTCGTCTCAAACAGGTTATCGTACCGCCGGGTGATCTCAGCAATAGCCTCAGCCAACTGACCCTTCTCACTGGCATCCAGATCCACCAGCGCACGCTTATGCTTCTTGCTCACAATCATAGTCTCGAACGGCCATGTCGCCCACCATGGACACACCACCAGAAACGCCTCGTTCTCGAAAACCACACGCTCCTGCTTCTTGCTTTCCAGTGCCGCATAGTCCTCTAACATGTGCTTACCGCCGCGCTCGCGCCGGTACTTTTGCAGCTGCTCCAGTTCCATCGCAGGTTCTTCCGGCAGCGAGCTGGTTGTCCAGACTTGTCCGTGCGGGTGTGGGTTCGAGCAGCCCATCGCAGCGCCCTTGTTCTCGAAAATCTGCATATACCGGTATTGCTCCCTGGGCTTGGTCAGGTTGGCAGTGGGCGAGTTGGGAGGCAGCGTGGTAGCCGGGGCGATGGCAGCAAGCGGCGACTTAGGCGACAGGTGCGACGTGTAGAGCTCTGTCCAGGCTTCGATGACGGGGGTGATTTCTGCGGGCGACAGATCGGCCAGGGTGAGGTTATGCGCTGCGGAGAAGGTGAGGACGTAGCATTTTCCGGTAACTGGTTCTGCTCTTAGGAACATGGACTCGAGGTCTGCCAAGTTAACTACCAAATAAAAGACGCAAAAGGGGACTAGCATACCATCGGCATTGTCCGGATTGTAAGACGCCTGCTCCTCCTTGACCGCGCTGTAGTCGTTCACGAAGATAAAGGTGCTCTCGTACTTGGGGTTGGTATCGCCCTGGGCGCGCTTGTTGCCGGGGCACAAGTAACAGCTGGGATCGTAGTTGGGGAGGGTGTTCTTGGAGGGGCTCTCCTGCTGTCCCCTGCGCTGTGTTAGCTCTGTTATGTCGTCGCATGGGGATCAACGGTAGGCTTACTGCCAGGGTCTCTTGGTCCGGTGGGGAGACACCAAGATGTAGGAGCCCCGCAGAGGGTTGAATCTGCGGTGGGAGATGTCGTCTAGCACGTTTTCAGCCATGGCGAAGTGATATGCTGTCTTGTATGGTAGTGGGAGAAAAATTTGACGGGGAAGCGCTTTTAAAGAAGGGACTATGGAGCTCCGGGGAATAATAGTGGGGTCCGGAGATAGAGCCGAGTGAAGACGGCAAGCCGCGGGGATTTCTCCAGTGTCAGGGTCGGAATACCCCGCTGCTGCACTACCTTTCTCATTGACTTGGCATGGATGAGTATCCGTACCTACAAGTACCTTGGCTATGACACTGGACAAACCACCTTAGCCCCTGAGACCGAACCAAAATGCCCATGTGTTTTCCTTTTTACACAAGGACGCGGTATATCACCTCGTGTATGACAGAGTCAGGCTTGAATCCAGTAATCCCTGTGCATGCGCATACAAAGAACTTATACCATACAGGGGTATAGAATGATCTGCTGTACACGGGCTTGCGGCTATAAAAACCAGTTTACTCTCTCGTTTGATAAACCTCATCGACTTTATCTATCTCATATATAGTTGGACGAATTGATATACTGGTTAAAAATGCTGGATATATCCTTGAGGGTGCTACTGAGGAGTGCAGGTATTCATCGCCCTTGTCATTTCACCTATACATAAGGCTAAGAAGAAACAGCGACGAAGAAGTAAAAGCGAGCTTCGACGTCAACGTCTTCAGCCAACTCCGCATACTTCATGCCGTCCTCCCCAGCATGCGTGCCCAGAAATCCGGCGTCGTTGCAGGCCTAGGCTCGATAAGCGGCTGGTCCGGCGTTCCGGCCGCAGGTCTATACTGCGCGACCAAAGCCGCAGTCGCCATCTACACTGAGGGGTTGCGTGATGAATTTGCTGAATTCGGTATACAGACGACATGCATTGGGCCGGGGTTCTTCCGTACCAGTGTTCTTGTTGATGATGATGGGAATAAGGTGCGGATTAAGGGGCGTATTAAAGAGTTGGAGAGTGTTACGAAGCGGACTGGTGAGATGCTGAAGAATTATAATCAATATCAGCCCGGGTATCCGGTCAAGGGGGCGCAGGTTATTGTTGAGACATTGACGGGGACTGGACGTTGTAAGGGACAGTCTGCCTCCTCGGTTGGCGCTGGGGAGGGATGCGGTGCGGGCTATAAGAGCAGCTATTGAAAGGAATCGCGAGGGACTGGATTTGTGGAAGGATTTGGCAGCGACGACATACTGTGATGATGTGCAGTAATGCATCGTGACTTTGATACAACTTAGATTCTTGTTCGGTTTCTTACAGAAATTCTATGCATCGCAGATAGAGCTCTGCGGAACCAGCGAGATGGATGCATGAGGTATAATCGAGGCCTAGCTGTTAGAAAACTTGGTACAAAGTCTCCAATATACGATCATGGCAACCCGTTAAACAATTCGATTCAATCGGTTGAGAATGGAGAGAGTCTTGAATGTCCATTTTGTACTATCTCCGCTCCCCGCTTGACGTCAGTTCGCGGGGTCGATATGGCTTCAACGCTCAACAGAAGGAATACATAACAAAGCAATATGCCGCTTCATATCTACTCGCTTCCAAATGAGGTACGTATGCTCTATATTTCTAGGCCAAAAGAGAGATATTGACAGTCTAGGTCTTTGTGCAAATCCTCACCCCGTTTTCCACTCGCGATATTCTTCCGTTGGCAATAGTCTCGCGTCGCTTTCACGCTCTAGTTCTCCGTATCCTCCATTACCGATTGCTAGTAGCTGCCTCGCTGCAAGAATACAAGCTCATTCTCGAGTGCTTCCATCCCGCCTCCAAGCTCACCGAACCGCACGTCTTCTGCAAATACCTGGGCACCGATGGCCTGAGCGATAAACATGAAGGAGAGGGCTCGTTATATGAGAATGTCGAGGAAGCACAAAAGCTGGGAAGACTCACATCACTGTATTCCCGGTTCCGGCCTGAGGTAACTGTCGAGGAAAGAATGAATGGGTCCCGATTAGTCCCGTTCGGGAATGGCCTCGATCCTGACGATCTTACCGTCAAGCGAGCAGTGCATATCGAAAGCGCAGAGGATTTCTCACAACTGTGTGTCATGGTAAATCTAGTCAAGGTCATGCCGGGTAGCAACCGCTTGCTGAGTGCGGTGGCAGTGGAGGATGGTGTGGCCCGGCTTTTTAGAAAATGGCTGAGAGAGCAAGCACAGAGAACGGATCCTGATATCCTATGGGTAGACCAGGGCGAGAATGTCGGACTAAAGATGCGCGTGAGGGAAAAAAGACGGCCGGGACAGGCTGCCCCGATTCTTGTCCATCGCGACGAGGCCCCGGTCAGCTATGATGTGGATATTGAAGGTATTTCTCCTCCGTCTTTTTATTTCCCGGTTGAAGCTAACTACGAGTTTCGTCCAGAATTGCATGTCCGTACCACTCGCGTCCTGTTGACACTGGAAAAAGCATTGCAAGAGCAGCAGAACAATAGACAGGCCGTCATTTTCAGCCTTGGTTAATCGCACATAGGGAGCAGATAGATTGAATATAGAGCCATCATCGTATGTTTAGCGTGATTGCATGAATTTGTCTTTTCCCAAAAAGGAAACCACACTGTTTAGTAATCACTCTATCGAATCTCCGCACGATTTAGGGGTGAATCCCGAGGAACTCCTCGTGAGCCGCGGTCGATCTGCTGCATTCCTGATAGAGCCTTTGTCGCATTAAGCAGGCAATAAAGGCGAACGCCAGGAGGTATTAACTGTATATTGCTGCTGTTGGGTCCACCATGTCGATGTGCTTTTCACCCTGGCAGACAGCAGAGAGCAACGTTTAAGAATCCGACAACGGTTCCGAGTTTATGAGACCGGGGAGTCGGGAATAGAACATAGCCAGGCAGACACAGACTTGAAGAGATTTTATAAATAATTTTCTGAACATGGTATATGGGGGAAAGCCGAGCACGGGATGCCACTTGTGTCGCAAACGGAAAATCAAGGTAAGACCTAATGCTTTTATACAAGGCAACAACCTCTTATATAGATCCGGATATCTTTGGTTGCTTTTGTGTAACATGCTTACGATACCATAGTGCGACGAAGGCCAACCGGGATGCCGCAACTGCTCGGTGTATGGGAAGCCCTGTCCGGGATACCGGTCAGACACAATCTTCCGGAATGAGACGCACAAGGTTGAGAAGCTGGTGAGGAAGAATTCTTCGTCTCCACCTTCTGAAATTCAGTCTCAGCCTGGAGGACAAGTTATTACGTGGAGGATCCCGGAGACGTCCCAGAGTGTAACGGCTGCTCGTACCGGCAGCATTGATATTAGCAGTCAACGGGAACCATCACTTTCGCTTTATAAAGTTGCCGATTCCACGTGGGAAGAGCGAGCGATTTGCTACTTTTTTGACCAGTACACAACGTATGATGGAACAAACAGCGGGTTAACGATTGGAGTGAGCCATCTGGGCTTTCTCCCCTCCCTGTACGCGTTCTGTCGCGAACAGGAAGGACAAGAGGGCTCTGCGTCGCTATGTCTACGACAAGCAGTCGACGCAACTGCTTGCATGGCACTTGGAAATGAATCTAAAGTGCCTTGGTTAACCGTGAAAGCAAGAAGCAACTACGGAAAGGCACTCCGGGGACTGCGACAGGCGCTTGAGTCGCGAACTCAGGCTGTCAAGGATGAAAGCCTTGCAACACTAGCGCTTTTCTCGTTGTTTGAAGATATTGCTGGAGAGCGGAATGGGCTTTCTAGCTCGCATCGGGCCGGGTTTGAATTATTGATGAAGTTGAGAGGGGCGAGCCAGTTTGGGTATCAACGCGGGAGGGATCTGTTTAATTTTGCCTACACACATACGCACTCTGAGATACTGGCACTGGGAGAAAAACCCCGTTTCAGCACAGATTGGATCGTTGAGGGACTGGACACCTCAGACCCCGTACATCGACTGATTTCAGCAGCGTCAAAAGTTAGCCAAATCTTCATGGAAGCCACCTCAGCACAAGCAACGCCCGAGAATGTGGATGCCGTGCAATTGTTTACCTGGATCGATACCGGAGCCGCCCTGGACTCAGAACTCTCTGAATGGAGCCAGACTCTACCTAACGATTGGCTCCCGCTTGTCGTCTACGGACCTACCGGCGAGCCACTGATCACCTACCAAATATTATTCCTTTCCGTCGTCTGGAACTTCTACCGTGCCATCCGTATCGTCCTACAACGCCTCATGCTCGAACTGCGCCGCATCCGCGCGCACTTCCTCGGGCCCTTCCCGGACGACGACGCAGTCCTCGAAGTCATTCAAGATATGATCGCAGACGTCTGCCACAGCATCCCCTTCTCTCTCGGCGACATCGACACATTAGGGAATGCGCCCACTCCGTTGGATGGGGGTAAACCGAGGATTCGTGCGTTTCATGGGTATAGTCTGTTGTGGCCGTTGTGGTATGTGCTGGCGTGTGGATTGGCGACACCGGAGCAGGCGCAGCTGATTCGGGACGCACTAATAAGGGTTGGGTCTGTGCTGGGAATCAAGATGGCATTCAAATTGGCGGATTATACCCCAGGTGACCTGGGATTTCAATTTGGGTCGTCGCTGGAGTCATTCTTATGACTTAAGCAAATGAAGGAAGACGTCTGTTGATTCGGAATTCGTCGTGGTCTTCAGCGCTATCTCGAAGTGCTTTGATGCTTTATTGACGAACTCCCATGTCTACATCAATGCCCTTCAAAGGTAGCTATATGATAAGCTACCAACGTTTCTCAGAATCCGGCAGCGCCCATTAAGCCAAGAAGAGCCGATGATAATACAACACTAGTGCGCTCTCTAAACACACATCTCCCAACATTCTCCCGCCAGGAAGTCGCGTACAAGTCTTGCTGGCATTTCGAAACCGGGAATTTTGAGGTTTTCGAAATTTTAGAGAGAACCATGCCTGGGATACGTTCTATTCCGATCTGCCCCGGACAGTTGTACAAGTCTGGAACCTCCTACTCGGCAATCTATACACCGTTCAATTCTCAACTGCTTGAGGGATTTACCCTCAGGTGAAAGTAACATTCGCATATTCCTTGTCCCTAATACGCCATACGTACTACGACATGTCTACGGTGACACAGTCCATCTTGAGCCTCGGCGGGGTCTTTCAGATAGTCTGATTGAGTACGGTCAAATAAAGCCTCAATTCTGTTTCTTTCCATCGATCGATCGAATATCCCTCAATTGGAAGAATCAAACATGGCCGCTTCGTTTCCGTCCAAACAGCAAATGCTGTCGGATCTTGCCAGCGTGATTGCATCAAACGCCACTGTCGTTGATGACGAACTTGGAAGCAAAGAACTTCCGCCACTAGATGATGAGACCTTTCCCAGTTCCTTCCCCCTACTGAGTCCAGAGGGCTCTCGTGCTCGATTCGAGCTGCTATCTGCAGCATTGACTCTGTTCCGGCTCGCGAGCGGACCATCTGAAACTTTGGACCATGTCACCATGAAGGTGTGCAATTCATTTCTCCTCCCGTATACACCACAGTATATTAATCATGAACAAACAGGGCTTCGAACTAGGCACAATCGCAACCCTCCTCCGCCTCCGCATCCCGGAGCACATCCCCATCGGTAGCGCCGTCTCCCTGCAAACCCTCTCTCAATTAACCTCTATCGACGTCGACCTCCTAACACGCCTAATCCGCTACGCTATCTCAACCGGCTTCCTCACCGAAGCAGAACCAGGCCTCATCCGCCACAATGCCCTTTCAGCAGCTACCGCGCGTGACCACAATATGCGCGACAGCGCGTTGTGGAATGTCATTGTGGGAGCCCCTGGTGGGGTTAAAATGTACGAAGCGCTGCAGTTGGATCCCACGGGGAGAGATAATACGAAGACGGGGCTTAGTGTTGCTATGGAAGAGCGCGGGGAGCCGCGCGGGACGATGTGGGATTATCATGCGTTACACCCCGAGGATGAAGTGCGATTCAATAATGCCATGGCAAGTACGGAGACGGTTTCTATCCATGCGTGCGAGCATGTGGTTAGGGGGTTTGATTGGTCGAAGGTCAAGACTGTTGTCGATGTGAGCTTCCCTGCTTCACCCTACCCTTACCACCTATTCTAACGAAAGAGACAGGTCGGCGGCAACGAAGGCCACCTTTGCATGACAATAATAAACGCCTACCCCCACATAACCGCCACAATCCAAGACCAAGCCCGCGTTGTCGCAACCTCCGCCCCCCTCCTACCCCCCAAATACAACACCTCCATAGCCTTCAAGGAACACGACTTCTTCCACCCTCAGCCCACAATTGCAGACGTCTATATTCTCCGTTTCATCCTGCACGACTGGCCCGACGACAAAGCCCGCGACATCATCCGCAATCTCCTCCCCGCGCTCAAACCAGGTGCACGGATCCTCATAGTTGACCACGTCGTTCCTAGCGTTGGCGCCGGTGAGCAGAAGATTAATAGATATATGGAGCAGATTATTCGGCAGATGGATGTTACTATGTTTGGGTTGTTGGCGGGGAGGGAGAGGTCGGTGGAGGATTTTGAGAGGTTGTTTGGGGAGGTTGAGGAGAGGTTGGTGTTTAGGGGATGTGTTACGCCGGATGGGAGTTCGTTGAGTATTTTGGAGTTTCAGTTTTTGGGATAGATAGCAGGGTGTGATTAGTTAGTCTGTCCGATTTATCTGGTCTACTCCGTAGAATACTCAAGTGAGCACGTCACCCCGGAACACAAGATCTATGTTATTCATTACCAGTAGCAGAGGAGAGTTAATGAGAAGACTATTGCAGCATCATAGGTCCATGTTAAGATCTGTAGCTGGCTATAACCCACCAACCATACCCTACCCCAAACTACAAATAGATAAAATTCCCTACTTTCTACATCTGCATAGAAGTCAATCAGAACAGATCTCGAGATTTCTGCGAATCCATTGGTCAATTAAGATAAAACCAGAACTAAAAGAAAGATAATGATAAATATACATAAAATAAGAGAATAAGAAAAAATCGGTTCCGCGAGGGTTTGAACCTCGACCTTTGTGTCACTAAACCATAGATCACAGCGATATGAGCACACTATACTACCAGTTATGCTACGGGACCCGATTTATAACAATTCGCGTAGTTCCCTAGCTCTATGTAAACAGGTTTTAACGGATCTATGGTATCTCATTTGCTATTTCCCGTTGCATGGGTCTGTAAAAAGCCAAACAGGCTAGGATGTGTTGGAGTGACACCCGAGTTTCTCAGGGAGGCATGCCATGTGACCATTTAAATGCAGATTGGTATGTATAAGCAGACAGACGAGTATGTGCAGTTACATAGAGCGTGGAATGGCGACAGTAACGACTGCATTTGTTTAACGTTGACCAGCCTACTCCACCATGCATGTCCCACGAAATACAGAGTACAGTACACAGTAGAGCTACTCCAGTACACTGCTACTAACACAATCACACCAGCACAAACCTCGCCTCAAACCACTCCTTCACCGAAATCAACTCCTGCTGCTCCGCGGAGCGTCCTAATGCCACCGCCGTGGCACGTTTCAGCTCCCTCGCCGTCTCCTTCTCCGTAGGTTCCGAGAAATACCGACCACCTGTCTCCTGCGCGAAACCAAACATGAGTTTGACATCCTCCAGCTCCGAAATGTTGTGCGTGTCAAACGCCTCCCATGTCGGGAGGACCGGCTCGAAACGTGATTTGCGCCCCGTGGCAGCTTCGAAACTTTTAACGAGGTATTGGAAGCTGCCTGGGTCGCTGACCCCATGGACGAAACGGTTGTTCCATTTCTCCGGAGACAAGAAGATGCCGTGAATAATGTCGCCGAAGTCTTCGGTGACGCTGAGCCAGGGAACGTTTTCTTCGCCGCCCCAGTTTGGTGTGCGAAAGGTTAGGATGCCCTCATTATCGGGGAAATGAGGGAATCCGCCAAAGACGGGGGCGACTTCTTTAGCTAGGAAGTTCTCTAGAAACCATCCTGCACCGACAGGGACGACACTTTGGAAAGAGCCCAGCTGCTTGGCATATTGCTCGATTTGATACTTCGCTGTACTGGATTTAGTATATGTTAAAGGGTTTTTTGCTGGTTTGGATAAAACCTACAGTTCATAGCCTTCATGTTCACTTTCCCATTAGTCAACTCCGTGCAGTTAGGCCCAGAGCTGAAGGCAAGATGCTGAACACCAGCCGCAGCAGCCGCATCGATAATCGACTTGCCCAAATCGAATTCATTAGGCCCATCTGGGTTTGTCAAGCCCTGTTTTCATTGGTCATTCCTCGCCCCATCAACGAAGACAACGCATAAGGCAATAAATAGCATACCTTGTCATCCGAGTTAAGGTTCACAAACGCCCCCCATGATCCTTGGAATGCAGCTAGAATCTCATCGCTGTTGAAGCCGTCGGCCTGGGCCACCTCCGCTCCCAAGGTGGCTAATTTCTGACTAGCCTCGGAGTTAGGGTTTCGAGTGACTGCACGAACTTTAAACTCCACGTTCTGAAGTAGAGATCGAGCAACCGATCCTCCTTGGTTACCAGTAGCTCCGATAACAGTGATGATCTTTGCAGCACTCATTGTGACGGTTGTGGTTGGAACTGTATGTTTTCTAGATAGTAAAGTCGACAACTCAACCGAGCAAGACCGACCCCAGTTAAATAGAAGATAGTGTCCAACATTGACGCTTAGATGGAAGCCAGTGCCCTAAATCCCCTGCCATTTATCCCATCTTGAGCCTTTCCAGGCCTTGTAGCTGTCAATCATATGACAGCGCAGTGAAACACACGCATGTAACAGCTCGAGAGCCCTTGTCAGAAGCACAGCGTGGAATGGGTAAATTTAGAAGAGAGCTTCATCTCGGTTACATCCGAATTGCCCGAGAAGGATCAGGCTCTTGGATTTTCCTGGTTTGGCATTTCCATACATTGCCCACGTATTAGATTCGGAGGATAGCTTGGATCCCGGACTGATTTCCAATAAGCCCTACATACTAGATTGCGCAATAGCCAGCCTCTTTCCCCGGAGTTACCGGCATTTACAAGATGCTGTAAGCAATAGAGCTTCATCTTATATCGCGATCTATCCAAGCGGGATTGTCGTGTACGTTGGCCAGATAATCTTCTTCGTGCGCCTCTCGAATCATGCCACTATCCGCCTTCAAAAATTCCATCTCCGGACCAATGACGTCTAAAGCGTTACCCAACGCGGAGGAGTATGACTCGGCTGTGAGCGGGGACGAAGGGCTCGCTCAGATCTTCCGTTCCAGAGTCCTTCAAAATCCTTTGTCAGTGGCAGTCGCCGATGGAGAGATTGTCCTCAGCTATGAAGAGTTGCATTCAAGAGCCGCCACGCTCGCTCGGGAGCTTCGATATGGGAATTTCAAATTGGAAGAGCCCGTGGGGATTATTGTGCAGCATGGATTCGCAGACATCGTGACCCAGATTGCCATCCTCTATGCCGGTGGGAGTTGTGTCCCTATGGATCCAACGTTACCGGATCTCCAAATTCAAAGTCGATTACAGAAGTTGCAAACGAGATATATATTAGTCGACAAGGCCAATTCCCAGCGAAGCCTTCAATTCCAACAGCTAGTCATTGACGACTGGTGCACGCTGCCAGACGAACCATTGTCAGTTTTATATACGGATCTTCCCATCACGGCCGACCTCAATCACAGGACTCACATAATTCATACTTCCGGTACGACAAGCGAGCCAAAAGCAGTCCAGATCGCGGCCCGTTCCATTTTGCAAGTGGTATTTCACGCACCCTTTAAACCTGTCCTACCGACAGATACAGTCGCCCATGTCAACAACTCCAGTTTCGATGTCTCCCTCTTCGATATCTGGGCACCACTGTTGCGAGGAGCTAGCATTGCGGTTCTGAAAAAGAACGTTTTGCTAGATCTACCAGCCATGGCGGCCCACATTGATCGCTTCAATATCACCGTCATGGCCACAACGACTGCACTTCTGAACCTAGCAGCATCAACATACCCCAGGGCTTTCTCAAACCTACGAATTTGCTTCATTGGCGGAGAAGCGGCCAACGCGACTGCAATCAAGACGATTCTGGCGGAGGGTCCGCCGGCTAACCTCATCAACGCATACGGTCCAACGGAATGCTGCATTTTCTGCTTAGCTCATCGAGTCACCATAGATGATGCCCAGGCAGGAAAAATCAGTATCGGAAAACCAATTGGCCGCACTCTTGCATACATCTGCGATGAATCTGGCGAGTTGGTCCCAGATGGAGAGGAAGGTGAATTGTTGATTGGTGGCGCGGGAGTGTCGCCGGGATACATAAACCAACCAGACAAGAACGCAGCCTCTTTCATCAGAAACAAGCATGGGAGGTTATACCGAACAGGTGATATTGTCCGGCGGAGGATGGCTGACGGCCAGATTGATTATGTAGGGCGCCGTGACCATCAAGTAAAAATTCGTGGTTTCCGGATTGAACTCGAAGCAGTTGAAGCGGCAATGTTGAATACGGGTCAATTTTCACAGGCTGTCGCGTTAAAGGTCGATGCAGTACCCGGAGAAGCAGCAGGGTCGGCATTGATTGCCTTTGCAGTGCTGGCCCCAGGGTCCAAACGTCACGCAGTGTTTAATGCTGTCGATTCGTTGAAAGCCGTGTTACCAGACTATATGATACCCAGGATCGAGGTTATTTCACAAATACCTCTTGACAATCATGCTAAGGCAGATCGAAAGCGTCTCGCGCAGCTGTATCGAGATCGTTGGACCGAGCAACAGACGGTTGAAATCAACGACAGGGATGAGAAAGCCGGGGACAACTATCAGCGACTTGCTCGCTTATGGTCGTATATCCTTGGTCTTCCAGTGTCTGCCAAAGATTATGATGCGGACTTTTTCCTTCTCGGGGCCACCTCATTACAGGCGTCTCTTCTTATCAGCCAGATACGCCGCACTTTCAATGCGGAAGTCTCGCTTTTGACCTTGTACGATAATTCCAGCCTTGCGAAGCTGGTTACGGTCATTGAAGAAAGCCAAGGTGGTACCACTCGAGCAGTATTCTTTGAACAGGATGTATGGCTGGAGGACAGCAAGATGGCAGACGGGCTTGGTCCGCTACCAGGCCCGGTGATTGATTGGCAACATGAGACTGAAGGACGTGTCTTTTTGACAGGTGGAACGGGTTTTGTTGGTGCATTCTTCCTGGCTGACCTTCTGCACCTGCGGGATGTGCGCCAGGTTGGCTGTCTGGTACGAGCTGCAGATCCAACAACTGGCTTGAAGCGTCTTCAACACGCCCTGGCTAAATACAATCTGTGGGAGGATTGGTTTGTGCACAAGCTGCTGCCAATCTGCGGTACCCTCGAGGACCAGCATTTGGGTCTAGGCTCGCTGGAACGGTTTGAGAAGTTTGCAAACTGGACCAGCGTTATCTTTCATCTGGGAGCACGAGTCAACTACACGCAGCCATACTCTCTCCATCGTCCGGCCAATGTGGTGGGAACAGCAAACATACTACGTTTCGCTTACACTGGCCGAACGAAGGCGCTGCACTATGTCTCCAGTATATCCTGCTTTGGGCCGACGGGTTTCATAAACGGTGTCCAAAGTGTCACGGAAGATGAATCGTTGTTAAAGCATCTCGATGCCCTCCCATATGACCATGGATATGCGCAAAGCCAGTGGGTTGTGGAAAACATGCTGCACCGACTCATACAGCGTAACCATCCCATTGCCGTCTACCGACCAGGGTTCATCACTGGCCATACTCAAACCGGCGCCTGCAACCCAGATGACTTCTTCAGTCGTCTAGTCCATGCGTGTGCCGAAATAGGAAGCTACCCATTGCTTCCGAACCAACGCAAAGAATTCGTTCCAGTTGACTATGTCAACGCCGTCATCTTGCACATAGCCTCGCTACCTGCCGATTCTGGTCTGTGCCACGCATATCACATTGTCCCTCCGAGTCGCGCGTCTTCGATAGACATGAATGACTCGATGGAGCTTGCCAGTTCATCGAATTCCAGTGACGCTGGTGGGAAAGGCATTCCTTATGGAGAATGGATTGAGCTCTTGATGGACAAGTCTCCAGAGCGACTACGCCCTTTGCAGCCCATGCTGACCGAGAGGGTACACCAGGGACTCACGCGATGGGAGCTCTATGAGAATATGCCACTGTACGAGACCCACAACACGAACAGAGCTCTGGAGAGCTACCCTGGAGAGCTTCGGTTTCCGGTGTTGGATGGCAAGTTGATGCAGAAGTATCTCTCTTACCTCCAGTCTTGAGAGGTTGACGGTGATGGAGAGCAGAAGATACAAGGGTTATGCCAATTTATGCCTGTCTGGGTAATAGATACAACTTTAGTGAAAGAAGTTTCGTTCTTAACGTCTCTCAATTAAATTTCTCTTCATTTACTCAGGTCTAAGCTAATCCTGCACTCACTTGTGGCTACCAGGCCTTGATCCTCCCATGGCAGACTGCCCCGATACAGCATCGGCCCTTCCGGATACCGGCTATCTCTATCGATGAACCCACTTATCTGGCAGTCTAATTGACTAAGACAGAATCATGAACCAGGCGCAAAAGATCCCTCGGCACCTTCTATCCGTCCTTTAGGAGTACTCGGGCATATCGGATATGATGACGTCATGGATATAGATGCTCTCTCGCACAGCAAAACAAGCTTCTTAAAATAACGATAATCCTGGCATGGATGAGACAAGAACAACACATAATAAGCACACTAACGGTGTGCATAAATCCAATTGAACGCTCTTTATCGGACCCCGATACAGGGATATTACCTTATCAAGTACTATCGTGTCGTTGCATAGTGGAGCGCATTGCATCTCTGACGACATCCGGATCCGGATTCTTTGTTCAGCTTGCGTATATATAAAAAGTCAGCGCTGCGATTCGCATTCCATTGCACATATCCCAGAGAGGAACCATGGCAACACAGCAAGACAGGAATCTTCCTTTTGGAAAGATCGAGCCTAACTCGGCCAAATACTTTTGGAGTTGCACATTAGGAGGCGTCGTTGGTAAGTATTCTCTTCCCCAAGCGGATTAGCCCAATGCTAACGGATAATTGTGATAAGCTTGTGGTAGGTTGCGCTCGCCATCGTTTATCGTATCGTCCATATTAAATCCAATCTATAGGACCGACTCACACGGCCGTCACTCCGCTCGATCTGGTAAAATGTCGTCGTCAGGTTGATGCCAATATTTACAAATCCAACCTCTCCGCATGGCGTACAATCTACGCCAAAGAAGGCTTGCGCGGTGTCATCTTCGGTTGGTCGCCAACATTCGTTGGGTATTCCTTCCAAGGTGCCGGCAAATATGGCTTCTATGAATACTTCAAGTATCTGTACGGAGATAACCTATTCCCCAACACGAACCGCACCCTCGTGCATCTGGGCGCTAGTGCTTCGGCCGAATTCTTTGCCGATATGGCGCTTTGCCCCTGGGAGGCCATCAAAGTGCGCATGCAGACCACGCTACCACCTTATGCCCAGAACCTGCGCGAGGGATGGAGCAAGCTGGTCGCTAAGGAAGGAATGGGTGGGTTATATAAGGGATTGTATCCGCTGTGGGCGCGACAGATCCCCTATACCATGACCAAGTTCGCGACCTTCGAGGAGACGGTGAATCGGATCTATAAGTCATTGGGCAAAGAGAAGGAGAACTGTAGTGGATTGCAGCAGACGGGTATTAGTTTCGCAGGTGGTTATATCGCAGGTATCTTCTGTGCAGTTGTCAGTCATCCTGCCGATGTGATGGTCAGCAAGTTGAATGCGGATCGGAAGGGTGAGCACTTCTCCTCTTTGACATTCTGCTGAATGATGGCTAACTTGACAAGCTGGCGAGTCTGCAATGACTGCGGTTTCGCGAATTTACGGAAACATCGGGTTCCCTGGTCTGTGGAATGGTCTGACGGTCCGTATCCTGATGCTGGGAACATTGACCGGCTTCCAATGGTTGATGTAGGTTGCCCTGATTGTGCCTGACAAGTAATACACTAACGCAGTACAGTTACGATTCGTTCAAGGTCTTCCTTGGTCTTCCGACAACCGGTGGACATTAGATTCTTATCTTAAATTGGTTCAGTTGGCTTAGTTCCGTTTGTATCTAGATACGATTGATGAGTACCCAATACCATTACTTGTGTTTCTGCAAGCCCATCTTAATTTTCCATTGCACTCTAGACCACACGGGAAACATGAATCAGACGAATAAAGGCCAGGGGCATCTCGTGCCCTGCGCGGGATTTACAACGATGAGTACATGACATATGCCGTAACCGATGACAACACCCGATTGTGGATAGCCTAAAGTTTGTAGTCACTATCTCTGGGGTATGCACTTTGATAACCTGGTCCACTACGGGAAATCTTCGTGTATACGCATAGTAATGGGCATGTATATAATCCTCATGTATCGTCAATATAGTTAAGACCGCAAGAAATCATATATACTCTGTTGATCATGCTATTCTCCAAGGCCGTTGTGGCAGCTACCGTCTCTGCAGGACTGCATTGCCAAATTGGGCCTCGCCATTGCTGAACTACTACTGAACGAGAGTAAACAGTGAGCAACCATACATCTTTAGTAGGAATATAGATTGAAAGTTGGCATTCGTGACATTGTGTATCCATACATGTAATTTTAGCTCAGCTGTATTGATGTAAAGAAAAGTAGCTCCCTGCGAATTCACTCATACCTCTTTTTTACTCCATTTCTATGGTCAATGCTAAAAGGCCGTTGCTACATGCTACTCCGTAGTATAGTGAAGTTATCACCACTCACCGCCCTTGATAACCACCCGGCAGAACGACAAAGCCGCGATCACGGCGCCTCGAGATCTTCAATTATCCTCCTTTTTCCCGGCCCTAAGAAAGCAGCCTTGCGGCAGAACCTCTTTGATTAATTTGCCTATATTTAGCAGTATTTAACGCGCTACTTGCTTTACGTGGTCTTCGCTTGAACCGAAAGTCAGACATCACAGCTCCTTCCGAGCAGTGCTGAGAAAGGGATTGATCTTTCTTCGTGATAGTGAAGGAGCGAATTCGAAGAGAATAGGAGACCAAGGAATTCCTCCATACGAGCTTCCCGCACGTTGAATCCATTCCGACAACTGAGTCCCACTGATCATCTCTCTCCATCCTCATCCTCTACGCCTTCCTACCATCTTGCTTTCAACGAATCACCGACAAAAGTTCTCACCATGGAAGCACCCACAAAACCACCCACCTCCTCTCTCCCCTCCACGAATCCCCCCAGCGTCGAAGTCGCCTACAAACGCAAATGCATCGCCCTCAAGAAACGTCTCAACGAAATTGAATCCGAGAACGAACTCATGCGCGTCCGCAACAGACGAGGCTGGAAGTATATCCAGAAAATGCGTCTAGAGTCATGCATCCTGCTCGACAGGCTCACGAAGGTCACGGGCATGGCAGAAGAGGCGCAGGCCGCTGGTGGTGTCACCCCGGAGTTACGCGCGAAGGCCGCAGCTATGATGTCTAATGCGCCGACTCTGGAGGACGAGAGTAAACCCGGAGCTGGGGCGTCTGCTGTTGCGGGGAACGGGGCGCCGTATTTGGATGATGAGACGGAGGGAAGTTCGGAGGAAGCGCCGCCTACAGTATGTTTTTTTTTTTTTTTTTTTTTTTTTTTTTTTTTTTTTTTTCTTTCTTTTTTTGACAACTTAATCATTGTGGACTATTACCCTGATTGATTCATGTCTAACCCAGCATAGCCACAAGACCGGCCGCTCCGCACCAAACGACGAAACAGGATAGCAACGTGCAAGGAAGACGAGGGCTGGGACGAGGATGGGATGGGTCCCGGCCATCCGACAGTCTGGAGATCTCCGAAATGGCGCTCGCCAATGCCACCCGCTCCTAAGCAGGAGGAATTGACATCCTCGTTCCGCGTTCAAACAGGAAGCAATGGCGGTCCGGCATCTAGTCGTCGTCCAAGCGTCCAGGATACCCAGAACGGTAATGGAAATGGTGCTGCGGACGTTCCTGCCGCGCCGGCGGATGCTCCGACGACACCAATGGATATGGATATAGATACCAAGGAGCCGAAGGTCGAAGGACAGGGTTGATTTGTGCCGTACATGGTGTTGTTTCTCGATTTTTTCTCTTCTATTTGTGGTTTGCTACGATTACTTCATCATGTTCTTGGTTTTTGTCTTCTTTCCTAGGTCTGGGGTCCTAATCTTTTATATAATATATTTTCGAGATGTCATCTATTCCTGAAATGGAACTATCCATCATCATGCATGTCTAGTTCAGTTTTCTGTTCATGTTTACGAAAACAGAAAAGAACTTGATCGCAACCCGGTGTGCCTAGACTTATCAGCCTACAATGCAAGGATCTGTAAACGTTGCTCAATGTGGTGGCTCATGTATTGTACAGTACATCTTAGACTCTCCACACCATAACGCCAGTCATCCTAGCTCAATGACACCTTGCTCAATGAGAAATGTAACATCGAATCACACAATGGAAACAGACAGTAAAATACCATGCAAGCATATAGCAATGACAGTGAAAGCGCAAAGAAATAATAGATACATGGAAAAACACCTATACTGGCAGCTGCAAAGGACAACTAGAAATACAATCCCTAATCCACTCCAGCGTATAAATCGACTACGATGTTGATGGCTGCGACGAGAATCTCTGCGGCAATGAGAACAATAACTGTAACCATAGTGTTAACATTGTCTTACCATATCACGGAAAGAGAAGAAACCTACCAATCCATTCCAGATACTCGCCATGACGATGGGTCAATTGATCCTTCAACACCGCGAGGAGATCCGCAATAACATCCAATCGCTCAGTTAATAGACTTACACGCTGGTCCATCTCGAGATAACTTCGGACGGCCTGATATACCGGTTCCAACTGCGGCTCTGCCCACATCAGCTCCGGGCTGTCCAGGACAGAACCTTGTAGATGAATGTTAATTCGTAATATAAATAGTTCGCCGATTTGCATGTTGATTTGCCGTCGGGTGAGATTGACGCTGCCCGTTTGGGCGATTTGGGCGGGATAGGGTGCGGTGCTGGAGATGGTTTCAGAGACAATGTCTTCGAATAGGGATGTTTTCACGGATTGGGATAAGGCGTGCGAGATGGCGAGTTTGATCATATGATTCCGCGGATCGCGGAGGGAGATGAAGTCGTTGTATATCCGGGCTTGGTATTCGCGGGCGTAGTAGAAGTTGAAATTCTCGATTTGGGTATCTTCCGGACTCAGAATCGAGGTCGCAAATTTGGAGATGTCAGAAAGGAACCGTGATTCGTGTGCCGGGGACATTCCCCATAAGACAACCGTGCCGTAGTCGAACAGGTAAACTTCAGGAGTGTGAATGGTCGTATCGAAATCTTGTATCTCATCCGTCCGACCTGTTGATTCAACAGCCTCAGCACCATGATCACCATCATGACGTGAATCCGGGCATTGAAGATCAATCAAATCTCCTCTTCGAATGTTATTACTGTCTGGAACTTCAACGGCACTATCCGAATACCTGCGTTCTCCGGACGGCCGATTCCCTTCCATACCAAAACCATTATCCCCAAATATCCGGTTTCCCTTCTGCTTGTTTTCATGTTCATAATCATATGGCGAGTAAACACATTCGTCGTAAAGCTTCGGATTCGCACCACGGGTATTCGACCGCGACTTGAGAAACCTAATCACCCCATCCAACCGATACGAATTCGCTGTGCAATAAGCCGTAACCCGCGGCAAGCGATCTCTATCCGCCTTCCCTAGCCTCGCCGCATGACTCCTAGCCGTAGGTTCCTTAATCCGCGTAATCTGCGAATAGACATCTCGCGGAAAATCGCCTTCCACAACCTCCTCTTCAGCGGCCGTCTCCGGGTCCGGAAGAAGCTTCAATTTCTGCGCCTTTTTCGTCGTTCGCTGCGGGCCGATCTTGGACGCTGATGAGGGACTCGAAGGTGCATTGAATGGAGTGGCTCCTTGGCTGTTACGCCGGCGGAGCTTGCTGTTCAGGGCCGATAGACCGGTTGTTCTGGGCTGGCCGCCGTGGACCTGGGGTGGGGCGGAATGAAGCGGTTGAAGGGCTGGATTTGGGGGAGCGGCATCGCCGTAGGTGCTGATTGTGGCTAGGGGATTGAAGGTCACTGTTCGCGGTGGACGGTTTGCACGCGGTGACGTATTGGAGGATTCCGACTGTTGATATTGGGGAAGGAGAGGTGTTGTTTCGGCTTTGGATGACATCTTGGATCGAAGAGAGCGAATTGGTTTAATATATAGAGCCCATTGATGAATAGAGAAGGGTTTGCGACACGAAAGAGGCGTGGGGAGAAGGGATTGATGAGTGTTGGACGACAACGAACGATTTGAAGCTTTGGAGCTTTGCACGTGCTTCCGCCCAGCGTCCGGGCCAATCCGGATTACACAACAATGTCTATACAACCAAAATAATACAACGATGATGGCACTCAATTATTTTTTACTAGCATATACAATGGAATTGAACGTATTTGTTGATCCTGAAAGATAAGAATAACACCCGATCTTCCAACGCCTTAACACCAATCAAAGACATGCTCTGTACATCAAACCTCCCACATTTTTATGCAGTACGAGTACGAAAAAGAGAATTGAATCCTTAAATAGGGAGCTAAACATTAAGTCCGTAGCCCACCAATCCAAGCCCGGCAGTCATGAGACCCGAAAGCCTGAAAAGTTGTTCGCAATGGACCTAAGCCGTTGATCCATTGCGACATGCTTAATAAATATGTGGACGACTGCCCGGGTATTAAGAGCATGGTCAAATTGTAATCGCCCGATGGGAAGACGGACTGGCGAGTTCGTCCAATCACCACAGCTATCACATAGACGGAACAAACTCCAGATAACTCTATCTGCGCACGAAGCCAGACGAACCACCTGCAGTTCTTCTTAGACCGTTAACACTTGCGGTGCTGCGGCTCTTACTAAGCCAGGAATCCTTCACGTTGCGACCAGACTTCGAAGCCTTCGGTGCCAGTGCGGTTTTCGCCTTCTTCCGAGAAGGACCCTCGTCGAGTACCCGAATCGAAGTGTCACCCAGTTTTACATCCTTGGGACGCTTATCCTTCTTATCGAGGAACTTAAGCTTGCTGGGTTTTTTCTGTGCCGGTTCGAAGTCATCAATCGGAGGTGTTGGTGGTCTTGTGGCAGGTGCGGCATTGAGGATTTCATCAGGAAGCAGAGCGGGAAGAGCGGGTCGTCGTGTGTCTTGAGTTGTTGAGCCTTGAAGAGTTCCAGAGCTCTCTGATTGTGCATCCTCTGTCTCTTTCTTTTTCGCAGCCAACTTCGCCTGGGTTTTGCGTTGCTCATCCAGTTGTTTCCGCCTTTGTTTTTTCAATTGTTCTTCTCTGTAATAGAGTTAGAATAGGATAAAAAGGAAATGAGGGAAAAAATCGACTGACCTCTGTTTGATTCTTTCTTGTTTCTGGGCCTCCGACTTAATCTTTGACAATTGCGCAGAGTTATCGATAGCCTCTGGAGCATCATCGTCGCTGCTCTCATCGTCTTCTTGGTTGTCCGCCGGCGCTTGTTCGGTTGGTATCTCTTCCGGCAATTCAGGCTCTTCGCTACCGAATTTGATGTGACCTTTCTTCTCGGGAGCTGTATATTCCTGCTTCGAATCCGACCCCTCTACCTCCGACTCGCCTTGCGCATCTTCCGAAACTTCAGTCTCGCTTCTCCGGCGCTTGTTACTCTGACCATCCTTTTTCCCAGTATTCATCTTCCCATTCGCAGGCGGCGTGCCATTGGTTCCAGCTTCTGAAGCCTTGTTCCCCCGTCTTGTTGTGACCATCTTCGGTTCGTTATCGGTGGTTGTGGTATGTTTGGTCGGGTCGTCGGGATCGTGTCGCGTCAAAAGACCCTTTGCAGCGGTGACAAGGTGAGAAAACATAGAGGATCGAAGAGGTCCACTATGAATTCTGACCAGACTGGTTAACTGGATAAATATTATTGCGTATGAATTTATTGGGTAGAGGTGCTCTTCTGAATGTAGCAAAAAAAAAAAAGCCGACCGGTGCGATGTTGATCCGAAGGCGGTGAGAGTTATCGCGGCATAATTTCGGAGATTGAGAACTTTCAAGATTGAATGTATGGTGTAGAGAGGAGAGATAGGAATGACAAAATGGTTGCATGGTATCTCATATATGCATAACCCAGTATATAACGCCATCCGATTGTAGAAATCGATAAAAACACTCATGTTCTATACGCCCAAGAACTCCATGCATGCCAGTATACCTCACGCAACGCCCTGTAGAAATCGCATTGGGTGGTCGAGGTTGCGACTTATCTGGCAACCACCATTTGCTTTCGCTCCATATGCTCCTCGTTCGCATTCACAAAATCATCCTCCCCAACATCACTCAGTTCATCCCAGAACCTCCCATGCTCTTCTCCATCGTCTCCACTAACAGTCCACATGCTCTCCCTCAGACGTTTATTCCGCTCACGGTCCTCCTCAATTCTCTGCTCAATTTGCCTCTTATCCACACGCATCCCATTGGGCCTAGAATTTCGCGGCGTCCCCGTCTTCGGCTTCCCACTGCCTTCATCCCCTTCCTCATGCTCAAGATCAAGGGTATCGCGCTCTTTCAGAGCGGCGTCGATTTCAGCCACCGAATCGGCGGAGAGGATTTGCTTGGTTTGGAGACCGCTGAGAACTCGACGGACATGCTTCACGTTTGCTGCTCCTGAGCCGTCTGGTGGGACGACGGAATCGACTACTCGTAGGATATCGCGCTGCATCATTCGAACATAGGGTAGGTGGTTTTCTTTGGTGGCCATTTCGCAGAAGTGTTCAACGAAGTACATAATATTGGCTCTGTTATTCATGTTATTCTGGATTGTGTTAATGCTATATTCTAATTCTATCTGTAAAATAGTAGTGTACGAACTCTTTCAAGCTGTTCTAGAATGCACGAGTGAAGGTCCTCGTCTAAGTCGCGGTATTTGAGGGCGTAATGGGCGGCTTTTTGCGACGACGTGATGGAAGCACTTAGATGCTGCAACTGCGCTGTAAAGCGCATGCGCACCTCGAACGGATCTGCCATCATCTTGCCGGTGTGTGATTTCACAAAATACAATATGGAAGTATGTAGTTGTCTTATGCTGTTCCTGACAAGGTGCGCCGATAAAACGGCCGAGGAGGGCGGTGACGTTTTCGATGGGCAGAATATGTTGGGTTGTTGGAGACGATGCAGCAGGTTTCCTCCAGGATTGTGTCACGCATTGATCAATTCTCATTATTCCTATAAAAAGGACCTCGAGTGACAGGTTTCCATTTAATATAAACACTAGTTTCGGAATTGAACATGGCTGCATCGAACGACGTGACCCTCGCATTCCTGGGCTGCGGTATGAACACTGACATTGCCCATCGAGATAAACAACTAACTGGTACTACAAGGCAACCTGGGGATTGCAATTCTCTCTGGAGTTCTTGCCTCCATAACTGAAGCCAGAGACAACGCATCATATGCTGCCTCCGGAGAAGTTCCGCAATTGATTCCTACAAAGTTCATCGCCTGTGTCCGCAAATCCGCCCAGCGTATCCAGGATGCCGTTAGCAAATACCCCTCGATCCCAGTCCAGATCTTCCAAAACGACAATATTAGTGGAGTGACGGAGGCAGATGCCATTATTCTCGGCTGCAAGCCCTGGATGCTGAAAGAAATCCTGGACGTCCCAGGCATGCGCAAAGCCCTGAAAGGCAAGTTACTTATCAGTATCTTGGCTGGCTGCCCCGTCGACCAGATTGAGGCTGTCTTGTACCCGGACGACTCTATTCCGACCGAAGATAGATGTCGCGTCGTCCGCGCTATGCCCAACACAGCCGCTATGATCCGCGAATCAATGACAACCATCGAGACCTCGTCTCCTCCGCTTCCGGATAAGTGGGACAAGCTGTTAACCTGGATCTTTACGCGCGTTGGCCAGGTGTCCCGTCTTCCTCCTGATAACATGGATGCTTGCACTTCGCTGGCAGGTTCTGGACCTGGGTTCGTGGCGTTGGTGCTTGAAGGTCTTGCTGATGGCGGTGTCGCGATGGGTCTGCCTCGTGCGGAAGCACAGCTTATGGCTGCTCAGGTCATGCGGGGGACGTCTGCTATGGTGCTTGATGGTGAGCACCCATCTTTGCTTAGGGAGCAGATTTGTACTCCTGGTGGGTGCACCGTGGGAGGGTTGATGGTGCTTGAGGAGAATGCTGTTAGAGGAAGCATTGCTCGCTCGATACGAGAGGCAACTGTCATTGCTAGTCAGCTTGGACAGGGCGTTAAAAATGTTAATGGCACACGGCACTAGATGTGGTCGAGTGTTCTAAAAAGCATTTATGGTGTAAAATATATAGACGGTAAGTAGTCATGGTATAGAAACTAGCAATGGCATGTAGCGATGGAATATATATCTGGCAGGCAAGACTTTCATTAGTCTTATAATCGTTATCCAAAGCAATTATATTTGATACCAAGTAATATAATACCTTGATATGTGTTCAGCATCTATTAATATACATCAAAAGAAAAAGCAAACATGAGCAAAAGCCGTTTCGGAGATCAGCCCTATAATGACGGCCGCCTCTCCAAAGAACTAGCAAGGCTATTTCCATCATCGCTCCCAAGTAAACCCACCTCTTCAGCAGAGGTCGGCTGGATTCCTGCGTAACCCTTGTCCTTGTGGGATTCCGCTCCATTGAGGATAGCCCAAACATCTTTCTTCGTAAGCAAGCCCTGCAGGACACCTTTGTTGGAGAACAGGACATAGCGTAGACCAAGTCTCTGAAACATCTGAAGGACAACCAAGAAGGTCGTATGGCTATTTAGCGTGATAGGTGTTTGGTCCATCCATGGTCGTAGGTCGAGAGTTTCTGCTGGGTCTGCGAAGGGTTGGTGTGCGAAGAAGACTTGTGTTTCACCGGACAAGCTGCTATTAGTATTTTTTGAGTGTTTCAAAGCGAATGAGAGCTCATTTCGTGAGATATAACCCAACAGAACAGGATTTGATGTATCTGTGACAACTGGGAACCCGCGATATTGTGTAGTCGCGAGGACATTACGGAGGATATCAATTGTGTGACCGATGGCCACAATGACAGTAATATCGTCGACGATAGTCATGACCTTATGAGCGGGGACATCTGGAGGCGTCGTGTCATCACGATGGTCGAGGAAGGGGTATTCATTCAGATGAATCCACGACTCGTAGATCCCACGCTTCCCGAAGATATCGCCGCACCACTTGGAGAGCATGACTGCAATCATGATTGGGATCACATAGGTCAAGGCACCTGTAAGTTCGAACATGATGACAACTATGGATATGGTCATTCTCGTGGCACCGCCTAAGGCAGCTGCAGCGCCAATTATTGCATATATCCCTGGTGTCACACATGGGACGTCTGGTTCACAGTTGCCGAATAGGAAGAAATCTGGATATGACTCCTGCCACATCTTGAAAGCTGTCCCCAAAGCACGCCCATAGAGGGATCCAATCGCAAAAGAAGGTAGAATGATACCCGCCGGCACATCTAATCCGAAAGTCATCGTCGCAAGGAAAAACCCGAGTACCGCTGCCATTAGCAAGAAGGCTATTGTGGCCATTGACACTGCACCAGGTGCGCAGAGACCAAAGGGATCTTCCGTGTCCGTACCGCATTCCGCAAATAATGATTGAACGAGCTCGGAGTTTTGAGCCCGCATGAAGAGATTGGGGAAGTTGATAAGAGCAGTCAGAAGGGTGACTATAATCACTTCTAAAACAGGACGAGCAGTGCTCCGAGATCTTCGCCATTTCGCGATCTTCAAGTTGAGCCGGATAAGAAAGGCTCCATATAGACCACCGATGATGCCCAGAATAACGAACGGGATGATCTCGAAACGATGCCAACCTCGCGTGTAAGTGACCTGGTAAAGAACGATATTTCCAGTCCGGAACGGGTTGAGTGCTTGCAAAGTCACTGCGGCTACCATTGCACAGACAAAACTCTGCCACATGGTCTTGTCTGGGAAATAATAGGACAATTGCTGGTTATGGTCAGTCTGGGAATTTCATATTGTTCATTTGAAAGACAAACCTCCAGACTGAAGAGCACACCACCAATAGGGGCACCAAAAGCAACAGATATACCTGCAGCCGCTGCGGCTGAAAGGACTTCCCGTTTTCTTGCTTCATTGTTGCTCAGGTTTTCAAATGGTCGCATAATAATGTTGGCACAGCAGCATGCAACATGGACAAGCGGGCCTTCCTTGCCCAACCAGAGACCGGATGCGACAGAAAGACACTTCAGAGTCATTAATATTTAACTACCCAAGCAGAATTCGCAGCAATACTTACCAGTCCTAGAGACTTGATCGCCAGCGTCCAAGGGCCCATAAACTGTTTCATCACGAAACCACCGAGCACTGTTTTGATTTCCGGAATTCCACTATGTCTTGCATAGATGGCATAACACCGCACCAGAACAGTGGCGCAAATTGCGAAGATGATCTGCTGCTGTTAGTGAACATGATATCCAAGCGTATATGCGAACGGACTTTGTTACCGAATAGAATATAAAGAAAATGTACTCAACTGTGAAACCGCCGCCTTTAGAGTTGACATTTAGAGCTTTGCTCCAAGGTGTCCAATCTAGACATTTAGATATGTCTGCCGAAGTCATTCGTCAGTAGCATAGCACAAGGGGTCAGCATTAGACCAGTCACACACCATCGTGACCCCAACAACAGAACGCCCGGTTGAGATAAAACTTCCCGCCCCCTGGTCCATTCTTGCAATATCCTGTTTTGATGTCGGCTAACCAATCGCTTGCGACGTCAATGAATGCTGCAATGATTCCCACTGCAACACCCGTGGCTATCAATACGAGCCAAACATTTCCAGCATCAAGCAACCTGCGCGCATACCCCACAATCCCTTGTCCACCAGAGTATAGCAGCCTTTTCCTTTGGCGTTCTTTCGTATACTCGAAGATCCAGTCGATCGCGGTAAGGTCATCATAGCCAACACGTCGCCCTGGACCTTCCACATACCAGTCCATCGGAGCCCCTTCTTTGTGTGTATTCAAGTTCCCACCGGTAATAGTGTGCGTTTTTGATATTTCCTCTGGTGACTGCCTATTGCGGCCAAATGCGCTGCCTCCAGGGGCCGATTCGGATGCGTCGTTGGAGAATAGATTCGACAAGCTGAATTTCGAACGCCGTTTTTTCTGTTTACGCTTAAATGAGATCCTAGAGATCACCAGGTTTTGTCAGTAATAAGTGTTATATATGAAGATGACCTCAGCATACGGTTCATGTGCCCGCTCACTCAATGGCCCATATCCTCCATCTTGCGGCAGCCCCGACAGGTTGTCATAGTCCGAGCCGAACGTCTCCGTGGATTGGCGACGGCTGTGAACATCCGACCCTGACTGCGAAAACGACATGACTTGTCATGAGAGTGTAGTTGTCAATAGCGACATATCTCAATAAACCAGAGTAGTTTCGCGATGCTGAAAAAAAGCGATGCTAATACACTCTACTGTATGATCGTCTCCGGAGATGAGGCGCAAGCTCCGCGCTTACATAAGGGCGGTGAGAGTGACACTGTGGGGCTGCGCCACATATAGCGGCAGAAAGAAAAAAAAGTTGCGGCGGCCAAGAAAGGAAATTCTCGACCAACACCAATTCAGCACGGAAGAGTTGCTCACTGGCAGGTATTCAATATGGACGGTAGACCTGCCTATGAGGGGACTCTCGATGAGTCCCGACTCTTTCAACAGCTCCCTAATGAAATCGTGGAGCTCATTCGCGCGGCTTCGGGGACTCAATACCTGAACGCGCTTGCGGTTGGCGCATTGAAGTCGCAATGTACAGAAGGATTTTTTGCCCTATACGAACCAATCTTTGTCGACATAGCAGCACGGTGGCTGCAATCCGATATCCCTGTTAACCAAGTCGACGTCCTTTCTGCATTCGCGCGTATCCTACCTTTTGTGCCATACCTCCGATCATTTGCCAGCCAATACACATTGTCTCGAGTTGGCCCTCTATCGAAAGAACTAACGTCTTTGCAGCTGGACGATATCGCCATTCGTACATTACTCCTTGCCATTTTCCGACTTCTTTCATTCGACCTCGAAGTATTCTCAAAGACCGTGTCGCCGTCGCAAATCCAGTCTCTCTTCCGTCATTCAGACCGTTCGTTAAGATATCTCGCCGTACGATGCTTTGCTCTATACATGCATGCTGCGGATGCGGCAACGGAGAAGATGGTTCAAAAACATGTTGGGGATAAGCCAATTGAAGGAGAGTGGGAGGGCATTGCGATTGACTACCGCTGTTTGGGACTGTGGGAGGAACGGCGATGGGAAATGCTGGAAAAGCAGGTCCAACATGCCAGGTTGACCCGGCCGGATGCAGAATGTTTGTCGCAAGCAGAGACGCTACGGGAGTTTTTCACTGCACGGACTGGGGAAGTCTCGGGCGTTTTGATCCCGAAGCTCAACGAGGCACCAGTCCCTCCATCGGCTATTGTGCGGACACGGACAGCCGTGGGGAACTTACGCAAGATTGCAAAGGCATTGCTCGACTCTCAACCGCTCTTATTAGTTGGTTTACCGAACTCCGGGAAGACGTCTTTGATTAACGACATTGCCGCAACCATGGGCCAGTCAGAATCCATGGTAACACTCCATTTGAACGAGCAGACTGACGCTAAGAGTCTCTTGGGAATGTACTCGACGTCGCCCGCAACGGGCTCATTTGCTTGGCAACCGGGTGTGCTAACAAAGGCCGCCAGAGAGGGCCGATGGATCTTGATTGAGGATCTTAACCGCGCTCCATCTGAAGTTATCGGTCTCATTCTCCCAATCATTGAGAAGGGAGAGCTCACCATTGCTAGCAGGAAAGAACGGATAAAGTGTGTTGATGGGTTTAAGATTATTGCGACGATGAAGTCTTCCTACAACATTGCTGGTGAAGAAATCGCTCCGGCTACCACCATTCTTGGGAGCAGGCTGTGGCAACGGGTACAAATCGATTCCCTTTCCGTTGACGAGATCCGCGATGTGATCATGCAAAAGTTCCCTCTCCTCGAGTCTCGTGTACCTGTCATCATGGACGTCTATCAACGACTTTGCTCGGCATTCCATGGGAACCTTGCCGTCCGGAGTTCGCAGGGACGCACACCAGGCTTTCGCGATCTCATCAAACTATGCAGCCGATTGCATAGACGGTTAGAGCGTTTGGGTGCCAAGACAGGCTACGAACCCACCCCCGAAGGCACCGATGACGAAATATTTTTAGACATCGTTGATATCTTCCTTAGATATATTCCCGAGAAGTCCATGGAAAGTGCCCTGGCCGCAGTGGTGGCTGAAGCGCTTCAAATATCTCCCCAGCGAGCAAGTTTTGCCCTCCAAGAACGGACCCCTGCATATTCGGATCAAGGTAGCAATTTGATACTTGGCAGAGAAAACTGCCGGAAGA